GTAGACAGCAACAGCAGCACATGCAGGGCACGACAGCGGTCCGAGCTTTGAACACATTTCGCAATCGCAGCTCTGCTACAACTACGCCAACGCACTCGCAACCTTCATCCCCGATGAGGAAGGATGTTGGAGGCAGCGGCGGCCAATCATCATCATTTCATTTCCCAGAAACCAATCGCAACCATGCATCAGCATTCTCTCACCACAAGCGCGAATCGCACTCTGGACAGCGTATCCAAAAACTCGTTCAAGATCGAACTCAAGTAAGGGAGAGTAGAATTTTGCTATCATTCAGGACTGCTGAAATTTTCGTACACTTCATCAATTTTTATATTTTCTGCTGTAGGTGGGTGAAGATTACAATAACAAACCTAGGCCGCATGCTTTGGCACCTACGAGCCCGTTACGTATAATCCCGCCCGGTAACAGTTCAAATGAGAACAGCGTTCCGAACAGCCCGTTGCCGATACAACGAATCGATTCACCTGTTTCGCAGGAAGACGAAGAAGTTTTAGCTATCGTAAGTCAATCTGAGTTACGCCACCCAGGTCTTCGACAGTGTGATAGCGTTATTCAAGATTCCGATAGAGCTGCTGAAGAAGATATAGCTGAGGAGCATGGTTCCCCTTGCACCTCGGGCGGGCTCCATCAGCCGAACATTAAGCAGATGAATAACTTTAGGCAAAACATGAACAGGTTAAGACACCACAGTCAGTGCGGATCTGATGGAGAACCGTTCGATTTACAAATGAGCGGCAGCAGCAGTACAGATAGTAACTGTAAGTTTTTATCAAATCCTTCACTATACATATACTATCAATTTGTTATCCTCAAGCTCTTCCAGTTAGTACGATCACAGTTCGCCGAGCAAATTCATGCCCAGAAATGAAAAAGGGTCTTGTCTCGTACAACAAGGAATTTCTGAATGAGAAGACAATGCTTGAAGAGTGCGACGACGACGAAGATCAGGAGCAGGAAAGATTCAATGGATCCGAATACGTAAGGAAGGAACTATCGTGCGCCGAAACTCAAACGGAAAACTTCTGGCCTATGCCATACGAACACCTGTTTCTGAGCGTCTTTCCTAACCACGATAATACAGAACCTAAGGTAACACCAGCACAGAGCCCAGCACCGAACACGGTGTTCAACCCTTCCACCATTTACGATATCATCGAAAAATACACCGAGGTCGGCGTACAGATCAACGAGAAGGATCCCATTAAGAGCTTGAAGGACCAGGTGCAATTGCTGTCGCAGCAGCTTCTGTTCGAACGCCATCGCCGAGAAACGCACGCCATAAAGAATCGTACTTTGTTCACTGAGGTGACCGTCAACCGGGTCAGCGACGAAAAGATATCCGCCCTAAGTGACCAAGTGAAAATGCAAGGGGAATACATAGAAACGCTAAGGAATGATCTAAATATTTGCAAAAAGGAAAAGATCGCCATCGAGAAAGAAGCGAAAGATGATATTAGGCGTATGGAAGAAAACTATAAAGATTTACAAAATAATTTCGAAACCTTCAAAGACAAGAACCACTATCTACAGCTCGAGCTGGAGGCGGAGAAGAACAAGCTTTCCGATAAGGATAAAAAATGGCAAATAGCTATGTCAGAAATATTCGATGCCCACGCCGAAGTTGCTGTAAGTTGTTACGTGGATAAATGAAATTTTGAATGATACATTTATTGTGTTTTTGTTAATTGCAGGTTGCCAAAGAGCAAGTAATAAAACTCGATAAGTGCCGATTCGAGTTAGAGAAGGTCAATAAGGAATTGCTGCTAGCCGGGGAATTGATATTGAAATACGAAGAACGACTCGGCGAATTGGACGTGCTGAGGAGATGCGAAGAGGAGCAGATCCATCTCACTGAAACTTACAATCATGAAATCGCAGGTGGGCGACATACAGTATTTTCTTTTTCATTCGAGGTTCTGACTTAATTTGTGTGATTTGGTTAGCGTTGCAACAGCAGTTGGAGTCCAAAAACCTGATTATCGAAGCGCACCGAAGTCGGATTTCAGAATTGGAACAAGCTATGTGTCACCATGGTGAAGCTGAAGCTATGTATAAGAAAACTTTCAACGACCTACGAGAGGAGTTCCATGAAAAGATAAAATCCGTGGAAAGCAAGTATAGAAGTCAGCTGTCTGTGAACCAAGCTTTGGAAGAGAAGATCTTCGATCTGTATCAGCAAGTGGAGTCGACTTGTCGCAGGGGTGTTCATTCGCCCGATACCAGCAGCTGCCATGAAGTCAATGCTACGATGACTGATCGTACAGGTACTGCACCAGGCCTGAGTCCGCACTCTTCTCCGCTCTCTGCTTCCTTAACATCTTCTGAAGGAAGTATGGCATTTGTACACAGTGAGATGAAAAATTTGCAGGTATTTAAATATCAATATCCCCAAATAGAAATATAAATTCTACTATTCGAATACTGAAATGATATGTTTTAGGTAATTATGGATCAGCGCGATACCGTAACTATAGTTCGCTCGAGCACAATTGAAAGTGACATAAGCCAAGAAGCACACTCGTCGACGACGACGTCACCGAGTATCGTGACATCTAATAAAAACGACTGATTTAATTCTATATTCAGCTATAAAATTCTAACAAAAATAAAATGAAAAAAAAAACATGTAACAATTTTTCTAATGTTAGACAAGTAAGCCTTAAGAGAAGTAACAGAAAATGTGAATTTTCTTCTGCTGACTGATTAAATTACCAAAATATTTTTTCAAATGTATCTCTAAATTTATTCAAGATCATGTGTAGATTATCAGCAGCTCCAAGTTTCTGTTCTCTTACAATTGAATCTTTGAAATATACGTGTAATTATGTCAGAGGTGAATATCAAACAATCCAATAAACAAACCTCAGTTGTTTGCATGTATATATATAAACAAATGATTGATTATTAAAAAAAATAAAGAAAGAGTAAGCTGCATGTTATACAAGCTAATGTTGCAATCAAAAAATCTAAATTCATTAAATGAGTTCACTGTATGCACTGCTTCCTTTGTTTATAAAAGCTTACTTCTACTTTATTAATATGGAAATGAATGAATGAAGGGAATGTAAATTGAAAATAGAACCTTTGTGGAATATATCAATATTTTATTATTCAAAAAAATTAAAAGTACTGTATTTGTTTACATTACTTAGCGTGAGCTTGAGCCTTACGCATTTGGGTCAAGATGTTGGAGAGCTCTTCACGCTTCCTCTTGGCGCGGATGTGGGTGCCCAAACGGCGCTTCAAGAACTTAAGAGCCCTCTTATCCTTGGACACCTTCAACAATTCCATGGCGCGCTTCTCATATGGGGCATGTCCACATACCTCACGGATCAAGTCACGCACAAATTTGGTGTGCTTGGTCAAAACACCCTTGCTTCTTGAGGGCCTGTTCTTGTTGCCTATCAACTTTGTGGTTTTGTGACCCTTGTTAAGGCCAATGGCCATATCGTACCTTGGAGCCATCTAAAAAAATAAGTAAAAATATATTATATTACTTCATCATTTCCCAATTGCATTTTAAATATATAAAGCGTGACAAAAAATGTGCAGAAATACACTTGGAAAACATTGCGAAATGTGAGGTTATGTACGGAACATAACTCAGTATATTTCTCAAAATACAACTTAAACATTCAATGCAGTTTATAAATATTGTGTTAGATTATATTAACGTTGCAAATATTGGAGTGTGTAAATTGTTAACAAAAATTGTACTTACATTTATGAAATATTTTGTTTAACAGAAACTCGCGTGTTCTGTTTAGCAGCCCACGAAATAAAAGGAAGATGGCAGAGTCGTTTCCGGTAACTGTCAAAGATTTCAGAAAGCGCCATCTTCATTGGAACTACAAATGAGCGCGAAGTTTAAATTTAAAATTTAAACAAAAATTCAAAATAGCATAATTGAAATCGATTTTCATTAAATTCAAATTGATTGCAACAACCTTAAAATTACTGAAACATTTATAGATAGAAAAGTATGAATTTTTTTTTTTTTTTGCAAAGGGCTATTTTATTAAAGGTCTTTCCGCCCTTTACATATATTTGATGAATAACAATGTAAAATATATAATCAACATTTTAATTTCACATTATTGTTATTAAACCTTCAGTTCATTTTTGATTATACAATTGAGTTTAATTGCGTTTAAACTAATAATGCTATTTCTTATTGTTTGTGGTGCATATTGTCAGTTCAAAGGTTGCGCAGATAAAATGGTATTAAATAAGCGCTGCTGAGTAAACGAGTTTCAGTTCGTTGCTGGACAATGCGGAGTGTAATTGTGTATTTCTTCTTGTGCTTTGGTTTGTGCAGTGTTGTGCATTCCTGGAAGTTTTTCCACAAAGGAAGAAAAGTGGGCGGAAATTTGGGATTACTCGATAAGGAAAATGTTGGTAAAAACATATCGGAAGAATGGTTCGATCAACTTCTTGATCATTTTTCACCTGGAGATATAAGAACATGGAATCAGGTAATGTTATGTGGGTGATATGATGATGGAGATTGTAACGCTGTTTTTTTTTTAGAGATTCTACGTGAACGATGAATATTACACTGGAAAAGGACCAGTTTTCTTGATGATCGGTGGCGAAGGGGCGGCTACTAATACCTGGATGACCAAAGGAACATGGATTGATTACGCTCGTCGCTTCGGGGCTTTATGTTTTCAACTGGAACATAGATATTATGGAAAAAGTCATCCAACTAGGTATTATTTATAGATGCAATTATGAGTTTGTTTAATGAGCATATACTTTCAGTGATTTGAGTACAAAGAATCTACAATATCTGACTAGTCAGCAAGCTTTAGCCGATCTTGCATATTTCATATCATCGATGAATATTAAATATAACATGACCGAAGACGTGAAATGGATCGCCTTTGGCGGATCGTATCCAGGTTCTTTGGCTGCATGGCTTAGGTACAAATATCCGCACTTGGTGCATGGAGCTATGTCGGCCAGCGGTCCTCTTTTAGCACAAGTTGATTTTAAAGGTAACTAACTGTTGCTAATACAATTAATGTATCTGTACTAAACACTATAGTTTTTGTTTAGATTACTTCAGGGTGGTCGATGAGGCATTGCTTTCGTACAGCGAGGAATGCTTGAACGCTGTAAAGGTTGGAACGTCTCAGATTTACACTTTGCTGCGTCATATGGTTGGTCAGAGGAACATCAACGAGAAATTCAATCTGTGCGATCCAATCGAAAAGTCAATTGAAAATAAGAAGGATGTTTCCAACTTCTTTGAAACTTTGTCCGGTAATTTTGCTGGTATTGTTCAATACAACAAAGACAACAGAATGAGTAAAGATGGAATGCAGAATATTACCATCGACACGCTATGCGATATAATGACGAACGAGTCGATCGGTATGCCTGTGGCCAGATTGGGTGAAGTCAATCGTCTGATGTTGAGAGCGACAAAACAAACCTGCTTGGATTACAAATACGATAAGATGATTCAAACTATGAGGAATATAAGTTGGGATAGCGAAACAGCTGAAGGCGCAAGGCAATGGACTTATCAGACCTGCACCGAGTTCGGCTTTTACCAGTCGTCCTCCCACATTCCGCAAATTTTTGGCGACGCTTTTCCGGTAGAGTTTTACATCCAACAGTGTATCGATGTCTTCGGATCGAAATATAATGAAAATTTCGTGAATCGCGCGATCGATAGGACCAATGTAATCTACGGGGCTTTGGACCTCGACGTCAGCAACGTAGTATTCGTACATGGTTCCATCGATCCATGGCACGCATTGGGAATTACGAAAACGACGAATCAAGCATCCCCTGCAATTTATATCGAAGGTAATAACTTATTAAAATTAAACATTTAAAACTTGCTTGCAACTTTATTTGTATTAAGAACATTCAAGGTTTGTATTCGAAATTAATGGGTAAAATTATTAATAATATCATATTATAAAGTTTTTCTTAGATTGTTAAAGGTACTGTCCAATGTCCGAAGTTCATTCAAAGTTTTGGAGGCTTTGCTCTTCTTGGTTGCAGGTGCTACCTTCCACTTGGCCTGTCCAACCAGCTGCGGTTTTAACTGTTGCTTATTGTTTTTCTTCTTCTGAGATTTTTTCGACGCAGGCACCAACACCATTTCCTCAACCGGCTTCCTAATTAATGGAATTAATTTTGGTTGTGGTATTAATTTGTGATCACCGACTGCCTTGATCGGTGTGATTTCATTTTTGAAATTCTCTTTCATCATTTCCTTGAACAGGGAACTGTTTCCCTTGGATTTCGTTTTCTTCTTGGATTTCGATTTGCATACTTCTGGAGTTGATGTGATTAACCTATCTTTATTATTAGATAAATTACTGATTTCAGTAGATTTGTTCGTTGCTTCTTCATCTTGCTGCGATAATTGCGTGGATACGCTCCTGCAATTGTACGTTTCAATTGTTGCCTCGATGGCCGCAAGAATCTGCTCATTGACATCTCCAGATACGCAAATCGTGCCGAGTCCATATTTAAACTCGGTGCACTTTGATTTGGTTTGCACTCTGATCTCGGTGTTGTCCTCCTCGAAGCTATTCAACGTACTGTATCCGCTATCGATGCCTCTGTGTTTGGAGTCTTCGATTCCGACCCGATGTAGATCTAGAAGTTTCTCGTATTTGTCTACAAGATCTTTATACATATTGATCTCGGGTTTCGGTGGATCCGACGTGAAATTAATGTTAATAAAAAAGCTATCATCTTCTTCTAACTCTTGGTAAACGCTCGGTAAATCGTTTATACGACACGTGCATGCTGAATTGTTAATCGTTGGATTTAATTTATCGTGTGCGTGATTTTCGTTATTCGCATAACACAATTGATCTTCTAAATCCTTGACTTTCTGACGCAATTCCTGTATGCATTTCTCTAAGAATTCCGTTCGTTCCTGACTCTCCATCAACTTATTTTGACTCTGATTTAACTGTTCCAAGAGTTCCGTGCAGTTATTTTCTAACGATTTGTCCCTCACCGGACTGTTTCGTCTGCTCGCGGGTGGTGACACTTCTTGAAGCTTCTCCATTTTCTTGATTTTAATTTTCCTATTCAAATCCATCGTCTGCTCCACAATCTTCGCTTTGTAAAGCGTACAGCTGATCTCCAGTTCTTCAATGTTCTCCATTAACATTTGTATAGACGCCTTGTCGTTCTTGTTTTGCGTCATTAATTTGCGATTCTCCCTTTCCAAATCCTTGATGTTATCTTCAATTTCCTCGTATTTTTTTAATAATGACTCGTTTACCTCGTGCAGCTCTGTCATCTGCTTCGAAAGATTCGCAACTTCCAAGAGTCTCTCGTGCAAGCGGTCTTCGTAATTGTTCAAACGTCTTTGCAACTTACTGTTCTCATCCAATAACATTTTCTCACTGTCCCTTTTCATACAATTATCCGCCTCACTAATGAAATATTCAACGCCCGCATGAACGTAATGAAAATCGCCATTATCTTGCATCGAATATGAATCCATTTTGTATTAATAAACAATTAACGATAATTCAATAAAATAACGAACGTACTTTTAACTTTAAAACATCAAATTAAGAGTAAAACAAACACTCACACTTTAAAAAAATTCTATCGTCGCATTTCTACGTGCTTTTTTTTATTCAAAATTTTTGTTCTTTTGATTTCAGGTACTGCACACTGCGCCAATATGTATCCCGAACGCGAAGAAGACTTGCCCCAACTGAAAGCGGCCCGACAACAAATCGCCAAATTTATTAATTCTTGGATTTGATCGTAGATAACTCATATTTTTATAAGAATCTATTTTAGGTTTTTCATCAACTTTTTACTCTTTTTACAATAAAAACACTTTGATTTACGATAAAAATACGTTTCAAATGAATTTACGAATGCAAATATTTTGAAAACAGTGCAGATCATTCATTTTCTCACCATTAAAATTCTTGATTGGATATTTGGATTATTTTTTTTTGGAATAATGATTAAAGATAGCTGTTATTTAAATGATGTCAATTTATCACATAATAATCACACATTTCAATGACATTGTCAAATATTTACATTAATTATAAAATATATACAATATTAGTTGATCAAGTTATTTGGATGATAAGAAACAAATTAAATTTATTATTTTTTCTTTACATTTTTGGTAGGGTACAGAACTGCTTTAATATTTCTTGCGATACAATTAGTTATGGGCAGCAGTGTCATAACTATCTGCGTCGGGCGAATAACTGGATTCACTTGCCGGAGGAAAGCCCGCAGTACTCTGAGAAATTTGTGCTTCGTGCACAAGTTCGCCAGATTCTCGCGACGAGCAGTCTCTTTGAGGATTGAATCCGTTTGCACCGCTTTTTCGCATGTGGTCTTCCTTTCCTCATCTCCATACAAAATAAGCTGCTTCTTCGGCGGTGTTGACATATAATCAACTCCGTTGAAAAAGCAATCAACAGATTCCAACACGCTGTCATCCTCTTCAATATAATCTAACATAGTCAGATGTTCCTTGCAGTTGCATATGGAGGTTTTGGACATTGCGCTAACATTCGATAATTCCATGGCGCTTAGTTGATCCTCCAAAGCTTTATATTTGATTAATATGTTCTTAAGATCTGTTTCCAAATGCTCGATTATATTTTTGTACTCGTCAACAACCTCAGATCGTACATAATCGTCAAGATTGATGTTGCATGGACGTACAACTTCCACAACTTTCTCCTCGTACACAACTTTGATTTCGGACTTCCTAAGCTTTTCATGCAATATGCTTATTTTCGCTTTATAATTCTCGGACAGCATCTCCAAATTTCGAATGTTGTTTTTCAGATTCACGATGTCTTTGTTCTTGTTTTTATTTTCAACGTTCAATTCTTCGTTTATCTCCTGCAGACTCCGGCAATTATTTTCCAACTGGTCGCAATCCCTCCATTGCATTTCGTTTATTTGCTGCAGAGACACCGATTGCTTGGTGAGCATCGTTATTTTCATGTCTTTGTCGAGGAGTTTATCTTCGTATGTTTGCAATTTCAAAAGCAGATTCTCGTTTCTTTCCAAAAGCAAATTCCCAATTTCCGCAGCAATCTCGATATACGATACTCCCTCGTCGAGGCGTTTAGTTAAATATTTATCCAATGTTATGTCATCATTGTATACCGAAGTTTCCATTGAATACATATCACTTCGCTCTTGAACTCTTCACTATTAATAACAGAACTTTATAGCAACATCATCTAAATATCATTTGGAATTCCCAAGACGACCAGCTTTGAGGTTTGCATTTCCTACAACAAAAATTGTGTTTAATACAAACATTTACAAATACATTTTGATTGTTCGAAGTAAGAACTTTTATGTTAATCAATTTGCGATGCGGACAACAATTGATGATTCGAATTAAATGATTGACAAAATTAGACACTAATACAACGCACCCACGCAATTGTGACACCAATACACACCAACAAAAAACCTCTTGGGAAACAAAACAACCGCAGTTGCTAATATTAAAATAAACAGATTGTAAATATACTTTACAACAAAACACAAAATAAGTAAAACCGTCTGCATTTCAGATAAAAAAAAACAAATTTAATTTGAAAAAATATCAAAAATATATTTTATAAAATCGATAGTTCATTTTTTAAAGAGAAATGCTTGCACATCTTTTCACAAATAAATTCATATAAAGTATTAGAATATTTACAGCATTGTTTTATTAGTAAAATGACTAATTTTACTAAATTTGTAAATGTTTGAATGCGCTCTGAATACATCTAAAAAAAAAATATAATTAAATATTATTAAACGAGTAAAAACATTTTAAATTTATTTTTATTAAAGGAGTTGTTAAAGTGAATAATAGAAAATTGGAGAATATAAAGATAAAATAAATGCATCTTAATTGTCTACGGTTAAATTAAACTATATAAAAAAAAGAAAAGTTATGATACAAGTAAATGTACAATGTCAAATATATAAAAGTAAAACATTTAGTATTAGTGTAACCATAATTTTGTGATAAAAATTAAGCATTTGAGTTTTCTTCAATATTCTCCGGTGCAGATTTGAACAGTGTATTGTATAAGAAGGACATGATCTTCTTCGCCGGCCTAAGCACTGGATCAACACATCTAGCAATAGTTGGAAGTATATCAAGATTAAAACTACTGCTGTGCAGGTGACTGAAGCTTGTAGTCATAAAGTGTAAGTATCCCGAGAATTCTTGACTGCTCGACTGATTACTGCAATTTTTCTTTTTCGGCGTCGAAGTGCCTTTTACGCCACGTAAAAATGATTTTAACGAATCGCAATCATCAATTGCAAGCACCAGCAATTCATTGCTATCGTTGCATTGAAAATCTTTCGTCAATTTAATTTGTCTGTTCAATTTATCTTCGTACATTTTCATAACTTCGATTAATTTTTTATTCATGAAAATAACTTTGGCACTGAATTCCTCCATAGTATCGCGGCTCTCTTCTAAATTCTGGATAACAGCATCTATGTCTGCGGTCAAATTTTGATTATCCTCCTGCACTTTTACTTCCAATGTTTCATTCTTGAATTCTAACTTGGTCCTGCACTTCTTATTCGGGTTATTCTTTTCGGTTATCGACTCTTCGGCAATTTCGGTCGACTCATGTATATTTTGATTTAGAGGATTTTCTGAAATCGACACCATCGAAATCGATTTTATTGATTTGTTGAGGTTTATTTTCAGTTTGGAAATATACGTAGAAACTGACTTTATGAACTTGTAGCCGCGTCTCACATACTTTTTGTTGCACTTGCGATTCTCGTACACAACGTTTGACAAAGAATTTTCCATAGTTACTCTTCGCTGTTCTTTGCGAACTGATGACTGATGGCTAAGAAAAGTTGCAAACTAAAATTGTTATCTTTCCCCACCACTCGAAATGCAACAGCGGCCATTTGAAAAGGGTCTTTTAATTGCTCCCCACTTTTTGGAAAAGACATTGTAGAATTTAATAGTGAATATTTTTCTTAGAATTCGAGAAAGTGATTTTTGCAAAATATATTTTAAGCCAACAAAAAAAAATTATAATGTTAATAATAATAATTTATTGCTATTAATAATTTTAGATATTTTAAATATCTTTTCTTTTTCGCTCATTATAACATTATTATTATAAGTGAGTTTCTTAAGTTTGTACAGTACAGTAAAACCTCGTTTAACGAACACCTCACATAACGAGCATTTCGTTTAACGAGCAACACAAAATGAAATGCTATACGATAATGCGTAATTACATTACTTTATAAGCGGAAAATTGTTTCACTATACGAGAAAAAATCCGAAAATTTTGGAATGGATAATGTTCGTTAAGCGAGATTCCACTGTATATATTTATTGATTATAGACTTTGATCGAGTGTTCTTGAATCGAAAGGACGTATAATTAAACATTAATTGGCCAAAATTACAACCAAAGGGCTAGCGATCAAAGTCTTTCTGGCCTTATTTTTTCATTAAATAAGTTTCACAAACTATTTGTTCGATTGTTTGATTTTGAACTTGAAATATTGCTTTATTTAATGTCTACATACAATTTTAATTATAATATTAATTATTGCAACAATAAAGCACAAAATTATTTAAATGTTATCCCGTATCGTAAAAGTCAACGTAGGGTATAGTTTATATTTATTTATTCAAATTAACTTTTTTATAAAGTCATAAAGTTTAAGAGAAAAGAATTTCATAAGTTTAAATTTGTTTTGAAAAGTTTTCCTCAAAACATGACAAGTTGCATATATAAGTTACTGTGATCCCTTTAGTTTTCAGAGCCATCTAACATCTTGTATTCACGACAGAAAATGTCACCTAACCTATAGTAACATGAAAATACTGAGAAAAATAATTTCAAAATGTTGAGTTCAGTAAGAAATTGTTTAAAAGCAGCGCATCTGAAAAGGTAGATTAATCTTATTCGAATGGAACATTAATGTTCTTATGCTTAATACAGTTTCAGGAATTTTTCTCTGAGTTCAAGTGTAAATGGAGCAAGAACCTACGATGGTGAGGGCAAAACTTCAGTGCACATATTGAATAACGACAATGAATTAGGTTTAATGATAAATGGTGTTAGCCAGGTAAAACAGATTAATTAAATGATTTAAACTATTGACAGTAGCTAAATGATTGTAGGTGGGTTTCAGATTGAATAACAATATGACAGTGTTAGGCCCAATGGCTATATTTGCTAGGTAACTGTATGAAAACTATAGTAAACAATATTCAAGAACAGATTCTTTCTGCAGGTCTGTATTGTCATGGAACATCAATTCAGTTGATGACATCACAGAGGAGTCTCTGAGTTTGTTCACAACATTAGAACCAAAACTGGACATAATTGTGATAGGTATTGGAGACAAACCAGATAACTTGAACTTTTACAAGAGGTTGGTCCCCATACTTAGGAAGCACAGGCTCAGCGTAGAGATATTACCCACTGAACAAGCATGCTCCACATTCAATTTCCTAAATTCAGAGAGCAGGCATGTGGCTGGTGCTATGATTCCTCCATACACATTGAGGACGACGGATGATGATACGTTACTTTCAAAGTTGCGTTACCAGAACCTCTATGAAATGAATGATATAAAATTTTTGTAAATTAAAATATATATATTTATAGGTAATTGAAAATGTAGCTATTAAATTAAAAAGAAAATTACATTTAGTTTTGATTTATTAAAAAATATTTTATTAATTTGCTGTTATTGTAATGACAAATTTAACATATCTTAGAATTATACAATTTTACGAAAAAAAAATAAACAAGTAATGCAAGTAGAAACAATGGCAAACTCATCAAATTGTTATTTTGAAGAATTGCTCTGTTCCATTTTCATGACGGCGGTGAAGATGTCTTTGGTTAATGAGGTGGGTTCTTCGAAGGCAATGAAATGACCACCGAAGTCGTAATCAGTGAGTTGAACAAGGTTGGTGTATTTGTCTTTCAGAATCCATTCGGGTTGAATACCCAATTCGTATTGGTACCTTGCGCATGCAGCTGGAACAGTGATTGGAGCCCTAGAATCATAATTGTTATTGTTAAGCTTTGTTTCTTTGAAAAACAACATTTTACGAATTCATGGTAGGTCATTTAAAATGTATTTATTAAAGTTTTAGTAGTAAACTTGCCTTGCAATCCCTGATTGTGATTGAAGTATGTTGAAGGATTCTGAGTATAGACGCATCGAAGTGGTGATGGTTTTCGTGACCCAATAGATCATGACGTTGTCGAGGAGATCATCGTAGTTGTACTTCTTATTTAGCCCGGCGTCTGGAAGGTCCTTCCAATGGGGATTCGTCCACGTGGAGAACTTCTCGAGAATGTAGGCTGCCAGACCGGCCGGGGAATCTGTCAGACCGACTCCTAGAGTATCCGGCTTTGTGGATTGCAGATGCATGTACCCGAATTCGAGCATCAAATTGTAAAAGTATTTGCTCAGCGGATAGTTTTTCTCCACCTCCTTCTCAGTCATAAACAAACTGGGACAAAAGCTTCCTGCCGTGTGTTTAAAGAACGACAGAGGCGTATTCACAAAGCACATATTCGAATGCATGCCTCGCACATGGCGTGGATAGAGTGTAGCCATGTGAGTGACGATGACACCTCCCCAGTCACCTCCTTGCACGTAGAATGAGTCGAAGCCCAGTCGAATCATCAGGTTCTTGAAGATGACGGCCATCTCCATCGCACCCAGACCCATCTTCGACGGAGCCTGCGAGAATCCGTAACCAGGCAAAGAAGCTGCGATCACCTCGAACGCGAAATCAGCTCCTTCTTGCTTCTGCGTCAGCATCGGCAGAATCCGGTGGAACTCTTTCACGGAGCCCGGCCATCCGTGCAGAATTAGCAACGGCAGAGTTTTAACATTCTTATCTGCTGGTTTTACATGAATGTAATGGATTTTCAGACCCTGGATTTCTGTCTTGAACTGCGGAAATTTGTTCAGTATGACTTCGCGTTCCTTCCATTTGTAATCCTTTTCCCAATAGTTCAAAATCTCTTCAAGATGATTGGAATGGATACCGTAGTCTTGGTTCGCACCCTCCAGTGATTGAGTTATTTTCCTATGGTTAGCCAATCTATTCTTCAGATCAATCAAAACCTACAACAATAAAATTCAATCCATTTTAAACATATCAGAATTGTTAATATATTAATTATACAAAGATCATTCAAATACGCCACTTACCAATAACACAACGATATGTATAATTTTTCACAGATAAAAAAAAAACTTGTCTACTCCTCGGCTTAATCAGTACAAACTAATTTATTTAGAAACCAAGGAAACGTAATACAAAATATTTATACTAAACGTCCGAATAGTCTATTAATATAAAAAAATAAAATAAATTCTTGATTCTTAAAAATCTGATGATATCACAATTAATTACTTCACTAATAATTTAAAAGAGACTTTATACATTTCGATATTAGCGGAGATAATAATTTAAAATCAATATATTCTATTTAATTTCGTTTCGATAACTTTAAAATTGACCCTTATAGATAAATTATATCAGATAATCAAGAAACAACAGATTGTTTTATTTTATCAATTAATAACGTAAATATACATACATTACAAGGCTACTTCTCAGAACAACATTATGAATGCACAGGGACATTCTATTATTAATTTAATAAAAAACCATGACAACACATCATTTATTTAATTATACTCACGCAAATTTGCCATAGCCATCTATTTGCAAATGCAAACTTCGTATACGAACAAATTATACTAAAAAATTATTCTCTTAGTTACTATTAAAAAAGGATACTACAAATATTTAAATATTGATTATTCATATTCTTTGTCATTTGATATAAATATATCCTGTCTTAATTTAAAACGAAAACAAGATTATGTGACTATAATTTTATCTATTTAGATTTGATGCAATTCTTATACAATTTTGTTGTGTATAGGATTCTGATAAGATTTGCTAGTTGAAATTGGATTCAATATTTATTTTCCGTTAAATTTACCATGTTTAAATTTTAACGTTTTACAGCTAAAATGTATGGATTCATAAAAAAATCTTGTCTATCAAAAAAAGAAATATTTCTTTACAATATACTTTTATTGAGCAGATAAACAATTAGTCGGAATATACGGTAGGTAATTGTTGTGTAAAAGCATTCACGCGATGAGAATTTTAAGCGGTCTTTATTTATTAATTGCGTTATATTGAATGAATTCGACCTTACCTCATCGTCCACATCTATTTTGAAAGGTACCACAGCACGGCTGTCGGCTTTCGGAGACCCTGGGCCCCAATAGGGCTCATCCAAATTGGGAACAGGTGCATTTTGGAAGAGTCTGTTAAACTTGATGCCTCCGTAGACGATGGCCACGATGAGAGCAAATGCAGTTACCTTGAAGGCCATAACGCGCGGTGGATTGAAAAGACTGAATGGTGAATCCAATTCGTCGGTCGTCGCGACTCTGTCGGCAACGTGAGTCGCTATCAGAGTAAATAATACAACTCCTGATCGTGTTGCGCAATGCAAAAACCGTGCACTTGGCTATGTGGAAGTGGTTTAGATCAAAATTAAATACTACTTGATTACACGAATTCCAAGTTTGTTTATTCTTTCAATAAACAAATTCCGGTATTATATGCGCACTTTACACACTTTAATTAAGAAATTATATAAATAAAGATTGCATATTTTCTTAATTGAAATAATCGCTGATACGTAACAAAAAAACACAAAAATACAGCCAAAAATATAAAACAAACATAACTATAATTTAAAAAAAATTAATTGGTTTCTTTGTTTCAAACATTTCAGCTGCAAGGTCAAGCGTTTTAATCTCCAATTTAAGAAATGAGCACAGTTTTATCGATGAATTAATGCATTGATCATCACATTTTAATAGTTTCTTGGTTCCAAACATTTCATTTTTAATCTTGAGTAAAACGATTAACAGCATAGTTATGAAATATATACTGTAATACCTCTTAAAGATCGGTATCGCAAATCTGTTTGAAACCGGACTAATCGACTGAATTTTATGTATAATTTTTCTTGATTTTTTTCAAATCAAAGTATATTTAATCCGGACTGTTCGAAGCCGGATAATGCTGTATATTGGGATAGTCTTATAATTATCAAAGTAAAAAGAATAGTTGTTTCTCAATAAATTAATGCAAACGTCTTTGAGATTATAAAAATGTAAAATCTTTAAAATTCTCTTTCAACATTATTTATGATTACTTTTTCATGTTTTGCATTTCCTACATTAACTGCAATTATCATTAACAATTTTGACGTTTTTTTGGTCAACTTTACAACAAATTTTCAAAGTTATTCCTTTTTTTTTATAGAATTCTTCTCATAAACCTCATAAATAAGCCGCTCAATTTGCTTTGCAAACACATATCGATTAAGACTTAATCGTTGAAAGATTTTGCAAGTTTTATAAATATTTATCCATTTATGAATTCTTTATTATTTCATTCTCATTTTTTCTTTCAATTTTCTTAATGAATTTCAATGTTAATATGAAATCGAAGAAAGTTCGAAATTCTTGCTAGTTCTTGCTCTGGTTCTCGGAAAACATTTTTTTTCATTTGGAAAATACAAAGGGAAATATGTATATATTCAAATGTAATTTGTCCGTACTAAAAATTTAATATTTTGTAAGAGAAAATTCATTTGAAGTTCTGTGAATTTAATATTTCTATACAAAATGGTATGGAAACCGTTTAAGCAGGGGCGTATTTAGGATTGGTCTTTATTGTACAATAAAAATAGACAAAACTGTTCGAAACTTGGAGTCGCTACTGCGCTTAATATATTTGTCAAAATTTGTTTCAGACATGAAGCTTCTAAGAAGCACAATTATAGGTTTCAAACAATGCATGAATATTTTATATAAGATATATATTTGAATCTTAAAAGGATTTATGAAGGTCGGATTAAGTCTTTATTGCTTTAGGGTTTGTTTGTTAGGGGGGAATATATCGGGTTGTCGCGATAACCGAAATCCCGTCAACCAAAATCCCGACTATATCAAAATCCCGACTGTATCGAAATCCCGATAGTGGCGTTTATTTTTATAATTTCTACAATAACAATTAACAATTTTATAATGAATAAGTCAACGAAAACAAAAACATTAATATTATTTATTGTTATTAATAATCAAGAGTCGGAGTTCCAAAAGTGACAGTTATTTAAAATTTACCTAAAGCAAAAAGAGTTTTAAAAAATGTATTTTTTAAAAGATTTAATTAATTATACTAAATTTGAACAATATTATAAATAAATATTGTAACTGAAGAAATTAAAAAAAAAACATACTAACATTAATGAAACAAAACAAACAAGAAAATGAAGATTTTTCCGTTTAATGTGAACTATGCGAAATTGAATAAAATTGTTATTTTTTTTAAACTTTAATTAATTTCGTTTGTCATTTTAGTATAAAATTGTATATGCTTTTGTTTCAAACTTTGGAAATGTCCACATAATACAGCAATTAGTAAATAGCAATATTTCAAAAATATTAAAAATTAGTACACAAAATTACATTTTTTTTGGATACAATTATACAGCCAAGTCTCTTTTTGTAGTTCCTCGATTAATCCGGTTTCAAAACAGCGGAACCGATAGCCAGGACTATGCGAGGTATAGCTATAGTTTTATTTTGGGTTTGTTTATATCATAGTCGTATCATATGAATATTGTCATTGTTTCCATTACGTTTATTTATAAAAAATATATATTTATAAAAAGCAACAAATATAGATTAAGACTAAGAATGTGTTTATGTAGACTGTAACGGACTTTATAACAAATGACTATATTCGATCTGTTTGTGCACAGATAAAATGTCTACAGTTTATCAAATAATTCGCGTCGACTAAAAAAGCAAACAATATGAAACAAAATAAATGCATATCATTATGAAAGATTATATTCATGTTGTTGTTATATTTGTCAAAAATATTTTCATTTTTGTTGAATATAAATAATAAAATTATATTATTTAATTACATATGAAAATTTTTCAAGTGTTAATATCTTAAAACACATTACTTTTTATATCAGATATTCGTAACATTTTTTTTTTATTATTATGCAATTATTATAGATAAATAATTAGTACAGATGTGCAATGTTGGTTGCATATAACTAAATATATTTGTTTTCCTCTCGAAGATTAGAATTTTCATGTAATATTGATTAGATGGAAAAAAAACTGACAATCAAAGAAAAATAAATTAAATAAAGTAAATTAGCTAACAAAAGTTCAATAATTAATAACAAGAGGCACTTTTCTAATTTAAAACTGTAATTTACTTAAAAATATTGTAAATTTTCGTTAAGATACGTGAATGTTTTTAAATCAAAGCAAAATATTAAGAGTATTTATTGTCAAAACAAATATATTTGTGTAATTCAAATTTTGTCTTTACAAATGATAAATGTTGGATGACAATATTAATCTAATAATAATATTCTAATATGAATCGGTATGCGTCTTATTATGATAATTGTAAGATTTTATTTATGTATGTATGAATTTAGGACAAAAAGTCTATCCCACCACAATGATTGTGCAAAAACGCTATGGCAATCAATGTACAATGAATATTTATTGAACATAAATTTGTTCATATTTATGTCGCCGATGTATGAATTAACATAGTTAAAGTAAAAATAATAAAAAAATCCTTTTATTTCTTTTAAAACACATTAAAATTAAGTTGTCTATAAATTTTTATTAAATAAATATGTGGTACTTTTTGGTAAAGTCATGCAATTTTCAGTTTAAATCGTATAATGAATAGAATAGTGAATAGATTACATAAACTTATTTCATGGTATTCTGCTATACAATATTTCTTTTCGTTACAACATAACAAAAATTACAAAACCTATACAGACAAGTGACAAGTATTACTTGAAAGTAGGTGTTTCCAATTGAAAAACAAATCATTTTTGTATACAATATAAAGATTACATTAAATTACCAAAAAGTATTTAGGTCTATTTCACGTCTCTTTATAATTGAAATAGTGGTATAAATGTGCCGGTATTATAAGTACTATCAGAGGACAAAGGGTTAAAGGGAATTTGTATTTAAACTGACTGTATTAAATATTGTTAATTATCATTATAATTTATTATCATGTAGTTCGGAGACTGAACTAGAATAGTAGTTGTTGTTCCTGTCAAATATTTATGACAGGTATAATGAAGATCCAGCATGCTTGAAATAATTTATGTAATTGACACATGTCAAAAAATGTTCAAATTTAAATAAGAGGTCGATTAGCCGTAAAAAATAAAATCATAATTTCAGTTTCTTGTTGTGTACTTAAAAATATATAAGTTTTAATCTGATGACACATCTAAATCTGATTACATTACATTTAACAACTTAAATGAACTTCACAATACTTGACAAGTTACTTGACAAATACATAAAAAGACAAAAAAATTGCCGAAGACTACATTTTTAAGACGCAAAAGTGATAAGCGTTAAACGAGAAGTAATTAAATGTTGTATATCTGCGCATTGAGATTGCGGAAGAAGGAAGACGTGGTAATTCGATCAACGAAATATTAAGTGACTTCATTCCATTTTCGTTCCTTAATTGCTTGTCCATCCATTTGAAAGCTCGTTAACATTCTTCTCGTATGAACATTTACAGCGTGCAGTTCGCATAAATTACACGGCCGTTCGACTGTTAAAAAATATATTTTTTAACATTCGTACTTACTTGCAACTTGCATATTAACTGTTCATCTTTTGTTTTTCGTGCAGCATCAGTACTATTGTTCGGCTATTGACTGCGCCTTCTTTGTCCGCTGCATAATTTTCTTGTAACCAATAGCTCTTCGATCATTCCTTTGCTTCCGCATTTAAATTTAGCTATTATTCTCGGGACGCATCTTTTACAATCTTCGTATTTCTTTTAGTTTCCAGCTAAATTACTTTCAAGAAATCAATAAACAAAATATAGGATAATTATAATTTTCGAAACAACTAAAATTATTACTTGCATTTAATAAAGTTGTTGTATTAGTTATAGAAACGGTCAAATAAATTACAAAATCTACCACATAAATCTGTATCAACATATACAAGTGTTTACTAAAGTTTTATGTATAATTAATATACTTATATTCAACTAATCTAAATATACTACAAGACAAATAATCTTTAGATTAGTTTTTCTTTTTGATTAGTAATCCACAGATTAGTAGATCTATTACAAGTCTAGTTATTAATGTTTTATATTTTTGATATATTTTTATACGTTAAAAACTTTATGAATATACTATAAAAACAATATAAAATAATCAATTCTGATTAGAATTAGGAAATATTAAACGTATAATTATTTTACAATAAGATGCAGTAAATGAGATAAATTTATGTCTGAAAGGTCTTCTTTTACATTGTGGCTCCTGATGCTGCGTGTGTCGTCTCTCCATGTTTTCGTACGTATCTTTGGGTGTGCGTATGTTTGTGTGTGTATGTGTGTCTGAATATATGTGTATGAGTGTAGAAGTAGAAGAAGAAGACAGAGACGCTATTAAGTTTATAGTTAGCTGCAACGCGGCCTAATGCAGTCCGTTTAAATGTGATACAAGAACTATTAGCAAAGATCGCCCGAAAAAGAGAATACAACATGCGGAGGAAAATTTATAGTTTGACGATCGCATTCGGATTTTTCCTCATGTCCATCCGTAAGTCCATTCAATTCAATAAAAGAAAAAAAACTAATCTTAATTTAAAATTTTTGATATTAATATTTAAAAATAAATAAGAAAATTTAAATAAATCACAAATATTTAGACTGAAATAATAAATTTTTCATGAAAGTTAATGAAAAATATACTTCATTAACTTTTGTAAATAGTTTTCAACTTTGGTCAATTTTTATAAAAAAAACTCAATTTTTGTATGTAAAATTGTGATCCGTTTTGTGTATATAATTCAGCTAATATGAAATGTAATTCATATCTATAAATATATTAATTAACTAGCACTTCACGTTTTTTGCTAATTTCTTAATAATTTTAAAAGATTGGCTTAAACGATCTGATGGAAACAGATTTTCAGTGTTTGTGTATTAATGAGAAATTAAAGATTAATTGCATCCACTTGTTATTTGATTTATTTTATCTAATCGATGGATATTATCTATTTAATACATTGAAGTAAAAATAAAGGGTTTTAAGCTAATTAGAGCTTAGTAGATTGATAATTTTTGTTTTATAAAAAATACGAATTTAGAACATTTATTTATAAAATTTATCCAATTTATTTTTGATTTAATTAGTTCATCACAATTAATTTTCAGATATTCATCTAAATCTAAATTAAAATATTGATAGTAATTATGTAAAATTTCATTGAAAATACTATTTAAACAAATACAGTAAAACCGCGTATAGTGTGGCTTCGATTAGCACGGATTCACTAAATTATAATTGAGCAAAATAAAAATAAATTCTATATATTACACAAAATTATTATTATTTTGTGCTGTCTGTTTTCATGAACTTTTAAAATCCTCGATTTGTCCGGTTTCAAATACCCATTATCCGCACTATGCGAGGTATTGCTATTTTTATGCTGTTAACTTTTGCTGCATTTTTTTATTTTGTTATGTAAACCAATAATTAATGATTTTTATGATTTGTAAATATATAATTTGAGAATTGTTTGTTAACCCTTCTTTAATTCCTTTTGATAGGTTGATGTAAACATCTGTATACTAATTTCATTTATCTCAGGTTTAATTTGTTCCATGTTTTGGAAAGTAATAAAGGTTTTTGGTGCTTCATTTTTAACTTTCAATTATTTCAAACAATTTTTAATAAAAGTTGATATTTTCATGTTACATTTTGCCATTAACTTATATGAAATAATTAATTTCAGCTAATTAATTTAGTGAAAATATTGTAAGTTGTTAACATTCTTCTTACTTATTATACTATAAAAATATATGTATAATGCAAAACAGTTAGAGTTTGAATGTGTTTTAGCAATTTTGCTATTTATAGCAGATAAATGCAGCAATTTTGCATCGCGAATTGCCATAACTGTGAATAAATTTAGTCGACAATTGAACCTAAAGTCGATTAAATACGGGTCAGACAAAAGAGCAATGAATCACATCCGATGCATTCAATTGTAATGTTTTCATCATTATCGAAGTTCACCAGCGAACTGGTTTCTGATCCATTCTTCGCCGACGGCAACACGTACACATATATTCAATCGCTAATCCGAACACATGCTCTTCAAATCCAAGTTTGAAAATGCATCCGAAACAATTATCATCCATCACTTTTACATACAGCAATTATACGTTTAATTTGACTAATTGCACTTCACGCGCTAAACAAAACCGGTCCCTAAATTAGTTTGTAATTTGCATTCCTAATGGAAAACGTCGCTCTTAATTCAACTGGAAATGTATAATCTTGATAATTATCAAATCTTTAATCTTTCTAAAGACTTCCTTATTTTAGCAAAAATTATTTTTTTCATCTTAATAAAGGTCATCAAAATATGGTAACATAATAGAATTTGATAATAAGAATGTAGAAACAATTTATAATTGTTTGTTCCTAATAAGATCCTTGAAATCACCGTCATTGAACCTATGGGTCATGTTAATTTTGAAAGGGTCGCGAAGTGACGCTGTCACCTTATGTCAAATTAGTACTTTCAATTTGTTAATGTATTTTATAAGCAATTGGGTCGCAAAAGTATATAAACATTTGTATTTATTGTAAACTTGATTATTCCATATTTTCTCTCAGAGATTCATTCAATTTGTACAGTATCTATTAATCTTTCAAATAAAATTAATATTGATTTGATGACATGTAATGACTATGATTTGTTTCGTTTTAAATCGTACAACTAAACTGTCAATCGATTGATAACTCTCTATTGAATTCTAATCCATTGAGGTTATTTGTATTGATTGGTGTTTAAATTTAGTATCGAAGGTTTCGGATCAATCGAATCGCTGTCAATTGTTTCGCATTTATTGGGCTTAACTGCATTTAGATTGGAATCGTATGTAATAAGTCACACATACTGACGTTCGCTTGTTTAATAAATTGTTTAGCAATATTTGAAATTCAAAGGCGCTTTTCAGTCGGTTTAAAATTAATTCCGAATGTCAGGAAATAATCAGTATTTGTGCAATTCGAACTAATTGGAACATGGCTATTTAGTTAGTAAACAAATCAGCATTAATTGGAATTGATAAGGGGATCTTAGAGGCCGCGCGAAAAAAATCCTCTGGATGCAAATAGAGGCATCATTGTAACTGTTGACAAGGATAAGAAGATTGTTTTTTAAATTTGTTGTGAAACGCGAGATTGGTAAAACACGCTGGAAACGGGAGTTGTCTGAAAGCGGTTTTCAATGATTTTTATTCGTTTTTCTTTTGGTATTTCTGGAAGACTAATGGCTCTAAAAACAATGTGAGTAGGACAGGGAGACTCCCACAACTGTGCTACAAATGGCGGAAGATTTAAGTTTTTGTTTGGGCGAACTTTCCTAATCTTGGGACAAATACGAAACAAATCGTTTATGACGGTGAAGCATGCGATAAATAGTTCAATTTTATTAACAGTCGACACTTTATTCAAATTGCGACTCGTTTCTTTGGATAATACTTTTTTTATCGCTCGAAGTCCGCACACGCAAGTCCATTATTGTGTCGGGTGTTACATAAATTTGGTTGCACGATGTCTATATTAGCTCGAATTTGAATTTTCTACCTATAAAATGATCCAAAAAGAGCTCACACAAATGGAACGGAATTTGGGAAATATTAAATTTAACAATATCCGAAATTTTTAATAGCCACATGGACATTTCGCATTATTTGAATAGGTTTTAGTTACAAAAAAAATGTGTTTATTGGTCATAAAAAAGCGTTACTATTTTATTTATAAATAACTTTAAATTTAAGCATTAGAAATAAATAATATTTATAGCAATAATTTTGTAAGATCTTCCAATTATATAATTATCAAATAGAAAGTGATATAACCTTAACGTACAATAATGACGATAAAATAAAATCGTAACGTTTCTTTCATGACACCTTGCATTATTCAACAAATTAATTTTATAGTATACAATTGTTGAAAATGATATAAAACGTCGTTAATTACATTCCTAATTTATTATATAAGACTAATAACCTTTTTTATTTTTATTCTCTATATTGTATTATACATCAAAAACAAATTTCTTTATTTATCTTATTTATTAATTGAATGAAACAAACTACTATATATATATCTTTGTGATTAATTAATAAAACAATTTTAAGTAATCTTATTTACTTCATTTTATGTGTTAATATGTTATTTCTCAATGCAATTAATTCACAACTAATTTACTGCTGTTTATGAGGTCAAAATAACCAGTTCAAAGTTGCTCTCATCGTAAAAAATCACATCCATCACATCGAAGTTACCACCATGTCTCGACTACTTTTTTTTGTATATATCTGCATATATCAAACATGTTTATATAACATTATTGCTCGTAGATAATATTTTTTATCTTTAAAATGTTTGCTACCATATATGAAGAAGTTGGACAATCTTAGTCGTTGATTGCGTATTCAAACATACAAAAATAACACGTTAGAAAAAAAACTCAGATAACTTAAAAAACATTGAGTATTCTTTTTATATTCATCAGTTTAAGTATCCATCAAAATATCATTTAACTTTTATAACAGTTTTATTTCAGTTATTTATTTTTTGTTTGTTGTTAGGTTTGCACAAGCTGACATAAATCCAACTTGAATAATTTCAATAAATCTAAGCATTATTTAAAACTGTCAAATGTCACCTGTCAACTGTCATCTGTCAAATGCAAATGAAAAATTGCAAAAAAAAAACGAACAGTTAAACCCACCTGACAAAATGAAGAAAGCTGTGAAGGAGACAATGAGATTAAGCAACAACAGAAAAAAATGCAATAAACATAAATAATAGAGAAACAAAGAAATCAAAAGATTACCAAAAGCTTAACAATGCCCGAAGATGTAAAGTGTGACATTTGGGTGAAAGTTTTCTTTAAAAAAAAATATAAAGATACAAAAAAATGTTTTTTTTTTATTATATATTTGTTTATTTATTGCATGAATAGTTATTTACATTTTGTAATTAAATTAAATGCAGAAGGTAAAATCATACAGGTTTTATTATCCAATTAGAAAGGTCTTTAATAATAAATTGAAAAATGTTATGAAATTATTTAATAATCTTACATATTCAATCCATTCAATTGAACGTTTCACTTCTTATAATTGCTCGCTGTTAAATGTTTCTCTTCAATTTATAGTATAAAAGAATGAATGAAGAAAAGGTAACAAAAAAAAACAAATTTGTTGAATTGTGTATGTTTTGTGATTACATAAACGATGATTACATAAAAGCGAAGCTGCAACGTAAACACCGGAATTCGTACAAATATTTGTGAAAGATAAGGGTATCCGTGTTCGTTCGTAATTATAACGAAAATGAAGATGTTAATTAAGCGGACGCGACAGAAATTGACCCTAATGACAAGTTTGAAGTGATTTCGCATGCACGCGAACCGCGACGGCGACAGCTTTGATCCGCCACAAGTGCTTTACCACTTGCATCTGCAAAATAGACGATTTCGTCTTCAGTAATTGTACCAATTACTGTAGACTCACCACACAAAAATTTACATTTCAACGAATGTACGCACGCCAATCGCTACTCACATATCTTTCAAGTGGACTACAAGCATTATTTATTTTTTTAAAATTATAATCGTGGAATTTATTTCTTTTAGAAAGAGTATTAAAAAAGTACTTAAATGGAACTATACAAATAATACATCTTTTTCTTTATTAATACCGTCGAGTCATCTCTATTATGACTGCACTGTTAATTTAGTAAATTTACACATTTACTAATGAATGACACTAATTAGGTTAAATTTAATAAAAAAAGTTAATAATTAATAGAATATTTTGTTAATGACTTACGTAAACCCGTAGATTGGACAGTATACCAGTAGAATATTTATTAAATATTCACAATTTTATCAAAACTGTACAATTTTTATTACATCTATAATTGAGTAAATATGAATAGTCATGGTTACATAACATATTATATAAAAATATATCGTAAAAGAATAGCTGTAAACTTAGACACATCTGTTTTCATTATTCAATTATTTATCAATTTGTGAAAGGCTATCTATCATTCATCCACTTTCCGCTATACACCTTGCTTAACTATTGTAAGCTGTCAAAACAGGATGGACGCTTTATGAAGTTGAATCGATATGAAACAATTATTTCATTATTTTAATACATATCATATTTTACTACCATGTTATGTTATAAACGTTAGATAATCAGGATGTTTGTAATGATTACTATAATTTTCAGAAGCAACGTCTGGATTAGAGGCGGGGAAGAAGATCAAGATATCAAGTAAGTAATGGATTTGGACGAGATGCATTTTTCTCTTGTACATAATGGTCACCGGTTTCTACAATTCCTACTCCTCCTCCGCAACAAATAAATGCATGTATTCAATCCGTCCCATCGCGCCGAATTGCGCAACGGCTCTCCATCATATTCCTCGTCCCGTATTTGGAACGCAGATGTCAAGTCCATCAAGCCAAGTAATTCCAAACCCATTAATAATCTATCAATTCTAAATTGTTAAACAAACTTCCACGTCCACGTCAGTTAACTGCCAGCCTTCCCGCATTCTTTTCAGACGTATTGTTGAACAACGATTAATAATAATAATAATAATAAGTAAAAGAAGATGAAGAATAATAACAGATTGTTTCTTAATCGCAGCACCGGGTTTAGAAGAGATACCGACGAATCTCTTGAACTTGCTGGACACGAGCTGCGCGAGGAGGAAGATCACGGAAGCGCCGAGAATCGATCACATGGAAAACGTTAAATATTCGAAGAGAAAACGGGCGAAGAAGACGTTCCTAATTGCTACTTACAGCTGTCAGGACGGTTACAGTTTGCTGAATGACAATAGAAAATTGTATTGCGGCAATGGGAAATGGATGGGTCCTTGGCCAATATGCATACCCAACGCAGGTTGGTCCATCATCTTTGAATTTTGAAAATTCCTTTCAATTATTTGTTAACTAACAAAAAACAAACTTTATGCAACCAAAGTTGTTGCAAAATAATCCTAAATTACCTTGGTAACGGTCCTGTCACAATAAAATTGTATGAATATACTTGTACAAGTACTTATCCAAAAATATAATCATAGGTAACTTGTTATATATCGCGTGGTGAGTAACCAATATTTTGAATACGTTTCTTATTCTTCCAATAATTATAGTTATATTCAAGTGAAGAGAAAAGTTACAAAATGTTTTAAGTTTTAAAATGTTTTAATGAAATAGGCAGAGATACAAATCTATTTTGACTTTTGTAAACTTTATTACAATTTATTTTATCTTTAGGACTTGCCTACACCCAAAGCGATGATTCCAATGTAGTAACTACAACAGGATTGAACGAATGTCCTCAAGATTTTGCTAAACGTTGTCAACACGACTGCGTCATGTCCAATGGAAAACCTAAGTGCAACTGTTACAACGGTTTCCAAATGAACAACGGAGTCTGCGAAGGTTCGTGCTTGTTTCAACATAATCCCAAAAAAACACTCAAAATTTCTTCATTTCCAGACATAAACGAATGCTTAACGAACAATGGAAATTGCGCCCACGAATGCACGAATTCACCAGGATCATTCCAATGCACGTGTCCGCCAGGATTCTTCGTTTCCGAATATTCATGTGTTGATATAAACGAATGCACCTTAAGGAACGGACACGGACCGTGCCAAGAGACTTGCGAGAATACCGAAGGTTCTTATAGATGCTCTTGTCAGTTGCCAGGAACTCAGTTGGCTCCGGATTTACACACTTGCGTGGATTTGGACGAATGCCAGCAGGGGACTTCCGGCTGTTCGCACGGCTGCATCAATACACACGGTAACACCTTCTGCACGTGTCCCGAAGGAATGATGCTGGACACGGATTGGAAAACGTGCACAGGTAAGCTTTTCTGATGCAGACTTTCGCTTTCATTTTATTTTTGGCAATCGTGCAGAGCTGGCCTCTTCCGATGAGCCGCACAACGAAGATGAAGATGATTACCAGGAGAAAGGTGAAGACGATGATGATGATGATGATTACGAGGAAACGGCAAATGCTGATGAGTACGATTACGAGGATGAGGAATATATTGATCTGTATCATCGAGATAACAAAACTGATAATGAGTTGCTAATCAGCGAAGGTCGTGATGAAAATAAAGAGAAATCTATGAAAAAAGATACAATTGATATGGATAATATCATACCAAACACTGGTAATGACTATAACGAAGATGATGAATATGATGATGAAATTTCCGAAAAAGAGACAGAGACTAGCACCAAATCAATTGAAACCATTGAAGTACCAACAGAGATTGATTTAAAAAATGAAGTTACATATGATGAAGACGTTGAAGAAGATAATATATCAAAAACAGACGTTATAACTACTGCAACTTCAATTATTGAAGAAAGCGACAATAATATATCAACTGAATCTACAGAGTCCTCAAGTAATCTAAAAAAAATTGATGGATTGGAAGATACTGATGAAAATGCTAAAAATGATTATGAGGATGAAAACAATACTATTGACAAATCTATAAATTTAACAAGTTTAAATGAAGTAAATAAAACTATTGGAGAGGATTTTGACGAAGAAGAAAATAACACATTGAATAATGAAGTCATATTACACAAAGAAACTAAGAATGATATCAATATAATTCATAAAATTAGTAGTAATGAGGAAAAAGAAGATGATGACGATGATTATGAGTATGAAGAACATACCGAAAACAAAAATAAAACGGTAAAAAATGAAATTATTTTAGGTAAAGAAAATAAAAATTCTACAAGTAATGATATCACTGATAATTATGAATATGAAGAATATTCTGTTGATGAAAATAGTACAAAAAATAATGATTCTGTAATACATAATGAAAATAATTCTTTAAATAAGAAAATTGAAGCTGTAGAAAATGAAGAAAAGGTTGATGATGATGATGATAACGAATACGAGTATGAAGATCATTCCGAAGAGGAAAATGATGATTTAGCAGAAACTAATATTTTAAATAATGAAACAATTATTGCCACAAATAATGTAAATACTACAAGTGATAATGAATATGAGTATGAAGAAAATTTGGAAGAAGAAAATGTTACAGTCAAAAATGAAAACGATATTACGATCAAAAGTAATGTTAACTTAACCGAAAGTGAAGAGGATCTTGGAAGTAATAAAGAAGGTACAACTTTAAAAATTGAGAAGAAGATAATAGTTGATGATGATAGCAATGAAATTGAAAAACCCTTAGATTTTACAACGAATAAAAAAGAAACTGAAAATGAAAGCACGGAAGAAACAAATCCAACTACTGAGAATAATATGAATGAAACTGATATTATTGATTATGACGAAGACGACTACTACGATGAACATATTGAAGATACCGTAACTGAAACAACAACTGAAGCAGATTTGGAAGATATCGAAAAAACTGTTTTGAGGAAGCAAGATGAAGATAATTATGATTATGAGAAAGAAATTTTAAATGAAACGATTAAAGAACATAATAATATAGTCGGTATAAATGAAAGTGAAACAACAACGGAAAGTGTTTCGGAAATAATAACTACAGAACAATCTCAATTACACGAAGATTTTGATAGTGAAGAATATGATTATGATAATGAAAATGAAGTAAATAAAATTGCTGATACTTTAACAACCAAATCACCCAATGAAGATAAGTTTTATGACTCAAACGAAGAGTATGAAGAATATGTAGAGGTAACAACATATAATGCAGTGAACGAGATTGAGAAAGCTGCAGAGAGTGAAATAGAAGATAACTTGGGAGAATATGCTAATGCGACTTCATCTCAAAATGTAACTAATCATCAGCAAACTCTAACTGATAATAAGGAAATTGAAACTACTGAAGGAGTAATTGATGATTATGAAATTGAAGATGATTACAGTGAAGAAATTGAGAAAATAGAAACTACAACGATGAGTATCAAATCAAGTACGGATGCAGATTTGAAAGGAGACGTAAACTACGAAGACTACGATTTGGGAGATTACGAAGATTGCGATATGGGTTTCCAACAAAGCGAAGGCAATAATTGTGTCGGTGAGTTGAAATTAATAAGTAATAAACAAACACGAATGTAGTTATATCACGCACTTTTCACTCCATGTTTCTCTATGTACTTTTTATTTCTCTCACTCTGACCTTGGGATGGCCTTTCTGCTTTGCACGATTACCTAACAAGTTCCAAATTAGTTTGCATGCTTTTAATGTCTGTTAATTATTCTCTAAATTTTCTTGATTAAAGATATTAACGAATGCGAGGATTCGCCTTGTTCCCATGAGTGTGTTAACATTGTTGGGAGCTACAAATGTGCGTGTCCAACGGGTTACCTCATCGGACCAGAGAATCTTCACGAATGCGTCGATGTCAACGAATGCGAATCGAAACCGTGCTCTCATTTATGCGAAAACACTGTTGGAAGTTTCGTTTGTTCATGTCCGGATACTTGGATTCTCAAGAACAATACTTGCGTTCAAGACAATTGTCCTCCGGGTTACAAGATGGAAAACGATGGATGCGAGGATATCAATGAATGTTTAGATGGTGTATGCGATGGTTTGTGCGAGAATACCAATGGATCTTACGAATGCTCTTGTTATGAAGGTTATTACCTTAATGAAACAACTAGGGCATGCGTTGATATCGATGAGTGCATCGATGAATACTCAAATGATTGTGATCAATTGTGCTTGAATACACCTGGAAGTTACAGTTGCGAATGCCAGGAAGGCTTTTCTTTGATCGAAGGCATTTGCACAGATGTAAACGAGTGCTTGGATTTCAATGGGAACTGCACTCATCTTTGCGCTAATCTGGAGGGATCATACCAATGCGCCTGCGATATCGGCTACGTGCTGCAGGAAGATAACAGGACCTGCAAGGAGTTGGATTTATGCACGGATAATAATGGCGGTTGCTCGCACGTTTGTGAGAATTACAATGGGAGCGTTATCTGTGGATGCCCCGATGGTTACGAACTGTACGATAAGGACTGTTTCAAGATAAGCCCTTGCAAGATCAACAACGGCGGCTGCTCGCATTTCTGCGAGCACATAAACAACACCGTCAATTGCCTCTGCCCTGATAATCATAAGTTAATTAACACTAGCTTCTGCGAGATAGATGCTTGCTTTGAAGAAAACGGAGGCTGCTCACACATGTGCGAGAACATCAAAGGTCAAGCTAGTTGCTCCTGTCCAGATGAAACGTATGAACTTAAAGGTAAGATTTGCTACAAGATAAATCTTTGCCTGATCAACAACGGAGGTTGCTCTCACGGATGCCAGTTCAATAACAATGAGGTCGTCTGCGATTGTCCGCCCTACCATGAACTAAATGATAAGCAGTGCAAGAAAATAAACCCTTGCGAAATCGATAATGGCGGTTGCTCCCATCTCTGTGACTTCTTCAACGATCAAATTAATTGCGCTTGTCCCAAAGGCTTCGAGCTGGTTGGTAAAGAATGCGAGAGGTACGACCCGTGCTCAGTGAATAACGGAGGATGCTCCCATGACTGCTTTAACAACAATGGAGATGTGGAATGCCTTTGTCCTATAAGATACGAACTGATCGATGGTAAAAACTGTGCTCCCATTGATCCTTGCGCGGATCGAAACGGTGGATGTTCTCACTATTGCTCAAGCACAACTGGTTTTGCACGTTGCCACTGCCCAGAAGGTTTTCAATTAGTAGATAAAACCTGCGTAAAGATAGATCCATGCAAGTTACTAAACTGCTCGCATTTCTGCATAAACCAGAACGAATACGCGCAATGCTACTGTCCGGATAACTTGCTTTTGGTAAACAATACATGCGTGGATCCGTGTGAAGGCTTTGGTTGCTCGCATTCTTGTAGGAGCGTAAGGGGTGTTCCCTTCTGCGAATGTCCAGATCATTTGATGCTTTCAGATAAAACGTGTATTGATATAGATCCATGTTTAACCAAAAATTGTTCACACGACTGCGTCTTAGTAAATAAACAGGCAGTTTGTAAATGCCCGGATAACTACGAATTGCAAGATTCTATTTGCAAACCCGTAAATCCATGCACGATTAATAATGGAGGATGCAGTCATATTTGCTATAGCTATCGCGGATTTGCAAAGTGTTCCTGTCCAGACGGTTTTGTATCACAAGGAAAGAAGTGCCTGGACGAAAATCCTTGCCGAGCAAACAATGGAAATTGCTCGCACATTTGCACCAACGGTAATGGAGTTAGTACATGTAGCTGCCCAACTGGTTATACTTTACGACCTAACAAAAGAACGTGCAAAGATATTAATGAGTGTTTAATAGAAAACGGTAAATGCTCGCATTATTGTAAAAACACTCCAGGAGGTCGCACTTGCTTATGCCCTAAAGGTTATCAGTTACACGAAGATCAATCTCAATGCACCAAAATATCTTGTTTCTATAACAACGGAGGATGCCAGCAAATTTGTAAGAACTCCTATGGTTCAATCAAGTGTGGTTGCACTGAAGGATTCACGTTGCAAGAAGACAAAAAGTCTTGCAAGAAAGCTCAATTCAGTGAATGTCCACTTAAAATCCCCATCAATGGGAGGATTAAGTGTACAAACCAAAACAACTCTTCCTATGTTCCGGTCAACACTCAATGCCTGGTAACGTGTGACAGAGGATACAAACTTATGGGCGAAAGTATAAGAACTTGCAAGTCTTCGGGAAATTGGGATAGGGACGACGCCTATTGCGTAGGTATGTATGATAAAAATACGATCTGGAAAACAAACTAATCATCATCTACAGGAGTTTCTTGCAAGAAAATGCCACATCCTTTGAATGGAAGATTTATACCGACGAGTTGTACGTCCGGAAAGAATTTCATCGGAGAAAAATGCAAGCTACACTGTCGGATCGGATATAAACCAAACCCGAATATGGAATTGTTTACCTGCTTACCCAACTCACAGTGGACTCCGGACATTGAAGATAATCACATAGTAAATGCTTGCGTTCAAGGTGAAAACGTTTAACCATAAATTTGTATTTAATTAATCTATATTTTTTTAGAATATTATCATGTAGAACCTTCAATTCGTTGTCCAAATGGCGGTTCATTAAATTTTGATCTACCAAAGGGCAAGAATAGCGTAATGGTTCAAATTCCAAAACCGGAATCAAACGTAGATTGGTGGCGGTATATAAGATGCAAATAATATGCTCTAATTGTATTATTCATAAATCATTTTGTAGATTTGTCAAGGCCACTCCGAGCTGGGCTAAACAGTTATACTCAAACCTAGGTCCCGGACGCTTCGAGGTGATATTTAATGCTTATAGCCCCACATTAAACACCTCCTCCAGCTGTCATCTATTGATAAATGTACGAGATACTGAAGCACCTCAAATGACTGGATGTCCTGCCAATATGGAGATCACACTGAGGAAAGATGAAAGGACGAGAACGGTTTATTGGCAGGAACCAATTTTTACGGACAACGTTGGTGTTAAAACCGTGTACAAATCCAAGGAATCTTCGTCGTCTTTAGGTCCAGGTTACCATCACGTTAACTACATTGCTAGTGATAATGCTGGAAACAGGGCCTTCTGCCACTTCACAATTTCCATTAAAGGTATTTTGCTGTATAAGTGCGCATCAGCTATTTTATTTCATATATCATTTGTTTATTTATATAGAATTTGGATACACCTTTAATTATCCTGGCAGATACAGGGCCGTGCTAATTTGTCCGCACGGAATTCAATACATGTCTAACTCTCCTGATAACTATGATGTGAGTAGTTACGATTTTCCAATTAATAAAACCTTGTTTAATATACAAAACAAAAAATCAGGAATAATATAAAATCGTATTTCAGAATTCTATAACAACTAGGAATGGATGTCATTGGAGCCATATAAGGGTGCGGGAGCCTATGGGAAATGCAGCCTATAGATTGCCATCATTCAGAACGCACCATTCCCAGCATGGGTCAAATCACAACAGTCATGCATACAGAGACAAGCTAAAGAGGAACTTGTTCGATTGGAATAAAAATTGTTGCTAGAAGTAGGAAGAACATATTCCTATTAAAACAATGTGTATATTTTTAACAAGAACAAAGGCAATATTTAGTAATACTTGAAACTAATGTATAAGTGAAAATACTTCTGTTATTCAATGTAGACAACCCAGTAATCATTTAAGTAAACTATTAATCATACATTTTTTTAAAATGTGCAAATAACTAATTTGAATTTAATAAACGCATTTACATGGATGATTTTTATTGGTTTATACGGGCGACACGATAGCGGCGAAAGCGCAATCTGTTATACATCGATTGTAACCAATAAAGCTGATGATAAAACAGGTCGTTAATTAGTTTTTTTTTTGAGAGGACCGTCTGCTGCTACCGTGACAAGTTTTTGGTGTCGTATAAGAATTTTGAATGAAAATAATATCCGCTGTGCGGACACAAGTGGTGCGAAGTGCGAATGCAAATTGCGTTCACTTAAATGTGCTAATAGTTTTAACCATTCAGTAACCAACGAAAAGCTATATTTTTAGTGCGTCATTTTGCGCGCGTATCCGTTTCCATGACGATACATTTCTAGGTTAGGAAAATAATAATACCATTTGAAGTGTTTATGGGATGTAAAGGGTTGCTTCATCGTGTGCAGCAGATGAAATGCCTTCGTTTGTGCGTCCCAAAGGCTCGAATCCTAGCAGGAGTCCAGCTGTCACCCCAATGTCTGAAAGACAACAATTGGCGCTTCTGATGCAAATGACTTCTCCAAATACTGATGCTGGCTCCAGGAGTCCATCAAGCGCTAGATCAAGGGACAGAAATGAGAGAGGTGAGACGCCCTTGCACCTGGCTGCAATCAAAGGGGATGTGGAGCAAGTATCCAGGTTGCTGGGACACAGGGCTGATCCAAATGTAGCTGACTTTGCAGGTATTATACTGTACTCAAATGGGGCTCTGGGTTTTCTAACAAGTTTGCTTTGAAGGTTGGACACCTTTGCACGAAGCTTGCAACCATGGTTGGTATGAAGTTGCCTTTCGCTTAGTCCAGGCTGGAGCCAGTGTCAATGCAAAAGGACTGGACAATGAGACACCATTGCACGATGCAGCTATTAATGGACATATGAAGTTGGTGAAGTTGCTTGTGGAAAAGGGTGCTGATGTCCATGCAAAGAACGCCAAGGGCAAAACACCTGTGGATGTAGCCGCTCCTGCTGTTGTATCTCTCCTCAATCCGTCGATGCCTGTAAATGGTGAGTTACTGTTACAAAACCAATTTGCAAAAGTATTTTTAAATTTGTCCTGTACGACATGTTGCCTACATGGAGATTAATTTAAAGATGGCGCCAAGTCTTTGCGAGCAAGTAATGCCAAGCTAATGGAACGTAATTTCCCTGAAACTGTACTATCTGTGGATTAGTGATTATTATCAATTCCGTTTAGAAAGTCGACCGATCTGGATATGTAATATGTACTGTGTATGCAAATAACCCCATGTCCGCAGATTCGGTTCAAGGATATGTTTGCTCAAAATTCTAGTCTTCGGGGTTGATGCTACTTGCAAGAAGGCCGTGGTAGGGATGGCAGCATTAGATTCGCAAATGTGTTTGTGAGAGTGCGAGTTTGTTTTATATATACTATATGTATATACATCTATATACCTATAGTATGTAGATGTACAGACATATATAGTATATATATATTTTGGATGTGTGCGAAGTTGCTGGACGGTTTCTTATTGTTGTTCAGTTTTATTGTAACTTTTTGTTTGTGGGCAATAGCCGATAGTGGTCGTGCAAGTGCACCAACACTGTACAACTTCCGACCGGCTTCTGACCTGAGATGCGACGGGCATCCCAGTTACACAAAGGTATGTCGACGGTTGTAATGGACGATGGCTAAACACACATGAAAGAAAACAAGGAATCTCCGAGTGCTTCGTATCAGTTCCCTCATTGCTACCCATCGCTGTTGTCGCCTACAGTTCTTTCATTTACTTTTATTTTTTATTCTGCGTTGCTTACTGTACATTACACTCTTTGGTGCGTTCTCTTAGTATTTTCTTTATTTATCTAATGGCTCTGCTAGTTATGTATGCATCTTGATTGGCATCCACTCTTATATTTATCTTTATTTTATACATTTTTTTTTTGTTAATTCTATTACGTTCTTTGTCCTATTTATTCTACTCTATTGAATGTTGACAAAGGCTGTATATGTTTACCAATTGCCGTGTTTATTTGTTTAGATATTTACAGTTTATAAACCATAATTGTTAAGAATAAGCTTCATACGTTTATACTTAGTTTTAGTTTTTTATTACATGCAATAATGATATATAACAGTAGTAGAATGCAAATTATGAAAGAATGCAATCAATAGCACATTTTAATTATTATTATTCAAAATGGCGGCGAATAGAACTTAAGTACATATTTGAACATCATAGAAATATTTACGTTTCTGAAGGAAATTTTATTTATTTTATAAAATATAATTTGTTTGGTTGTTAAATTATATTTCCCTTTTTTTAATTTAGATGCATTTTATGTATATTAAGTACTAATGGTGATGTGTATAATTCGAACATTTTTATTGACACTACTGGAATTGGGCCGTGACTCATGAGTACGTCGTATGAATAATTATGGTTTATAAACAGTAAATTTGCATGAATCGATAAACGTGTCGTGTGTAAGTAATAATGTACTGATCGAGTAAATATGTTTTCATTTTAGAATCGAGTGTTTCGTCGCGTTTGCAGCCTCGTTCGAGGGATGAGAAAAAAGTTACAGACGCAAGCAATAAAAAGCAATCCGGCGACGAAACCATGGAGGGACCAAAACCTAATGAAGATGTGTACGAATTCAAGGCGGCTAAAGAGACCGAATCTCCTGATCATGCTAAGTCATCAGTTGACGGTGATCAAGAAAACGTAGAATCTGCCGATCAGCCGCCCGGTTCTAATCAGAATCAAACCGATGATAATAAGAGGAGTTTCAATGAGATGAATGAGCCTCTGGAGGAAACGGATGAAGAGAATAAAAGGAAAAAAAGGAAAGAGGATGTTAATAAAGACAGCAACATCAAGGGAGGAAATCAGCAGAGGACAGCCGCTCAAAATAAAGGGCAGAACAGTAAAGCTGCATCGGGGAACAAAGCGGGAGCCGTGAATGTGAGTAAAACTGCGGATAGAAAGAGTCCTGTGGATAGTCCGAAACCGGCGAATGCTAGTAGCGATGCCGAATTGGAGGATGGGAAAACTGATCTGAAGGTTCCACCGTTAAAGATTGTAATTCCGCAAAGTACAGCCAGTGAGCAGGAATCAGGGCAGAGCAGGAATGGAAAAAGCAGTTCTCAGAGATCACATCAAGCTTTGCCGTACGTCGTACCTAGCAACAGCGAAGGAGAGAAAGAAGGAAACAGCGGCAACAACAGCCCCACGGACGCCGGCGGCAACAAAGAGGACAAAAAAGAAGGGAACGTCGGTAATGGAGGAGATGACCAGGTAGAAAGATTCAGCATAACATGTTAACAGTTATATAATAAGTAACCTTTTCTTGTAGCGAACAAGTGGTCATCATCAACGAGTGTTGCGCAGCTCGCATCGTTCCGGTACGCAGGGGAGTGCAGACAGAAGCAGCAACAATTCCAGTCCGCAGTTGCAACGATCCCATTCCCCATCACCTTCCGCATCCCCTGCAGCAACTTCAACAGCCAGTGCTACCAACGTGAATAATGATTTACCGGTTACCAATAGTGGTGCGCAGTCAGGTTCTTCAGCTACTTCTGCAAAATCCTCTGACATACAGCAACCCTCTGCTAACAGCGACACGGAACCTTCAACTTCTTCAGGCGGTTCGTCGTCAACAACGGCGGCTTCAACCCCCGCTCCAGTTGAACTGCATCCTCGAAAAAGGAAGATGAGACCCAACAAAGATGCCTCCATAGTAGCCCAAAGTCATGACCCCCCAGAACAACCCGCAATATCCGAAGTACATCCCCATGAACAACCCATCACAAATTGCTACCAATTATTTCTGAACATTCGTACACAGGTAATTATTATCTATACATAATTACTGTGAGCAGCCAACTGACATTTTATTAATTGCAGATTGCTAGAAGGAGGAAGGGTCTATTTCCTGTGCAGCCTAAGCCGCCCCAGGGATTTAAGGATTATTTAATGAATCGCTGCACTTACGTTTTAGCTGGTACCTCGCCGACATCTCCGAACATAACGTACCCTATTAGTCTCCAAGCTCAGTTAAAAGATCTTTTTGGTGAGCAGGAGAAAGAAAGATACAAACTACGAATGCAGCACGTAATCGAGAAGGAAAAGTTAGTGCTAAGTGTGGAGCAGGAGATTCTGCGGGTGCACGGACGAGCCGCCAGAGCTCTGGCTAATCAAGCACTGCCGTTTTCTGTCTGCACCATTTTGAAGGACGAAGAAGTTTATAATTTGATTACTCCAGAGCAGGAAGAGAAAGATCGTAATGCTAGATCACGTTATAACGGACGGCTTTTCCTTAGTTGGTTACAAGATGTTGATGACAAATGGGAGAAGATTAAAGAACATATGTTGTTAAGACATCACAACGAAGCTGAATCGTTGTACGCAGTACAGAAGATGGATTGGGAATGGAAAATGAAGGAGCTATCATTATGCGACGCGAAAACAGTACCCAAGATTGAAGAAACGCACGTTCCGATGGTGCACGTTAGCGACGATTTTGATCTCTTACCTGCTTAAATGGTGTTTAACTTTATACATACTGAATATGTATATAACAATAAGAAAGAAAGTGATATAGTCTAATATAATGTATATTGTAAACAAATTTATATAAATGTATTAAAGCTTCTTGATATGTGTATATTTCAAGATAATAGATAGATATTTCTATTTAAATTTAAAAAATGTCTTATTGGTTAATCCCTATTCATCTATTTCAAGTCCTTTAGTAAAATTTAACTTTCTTATCGAAACCATAATTGAAAATGTATAAATAAAATGTAGATTTGTTACAATGATTCATAATAATAATATTTATTGCAACAATAATAAAAATAATAAGTCAAGTGCTTCAAAGGGATATTGACCATAATCATAAGTTTTTCTACTTCATTATATAAACATCAAATCTATTGTAAAAAACCAGGAAGCACTTATCACCAATTATCTCAAGGTCGGTGAGATTGATATATATTAAATACGTACATACAAGTGGTATTTAAATATTTGAGTCTAATATAAAGTCGAGGAAATTAATAAAAAAAAGTATACAATAAAAAAATTGTGTAATGTAAAAAAATACACAAAAAGACGGAGCAAACACCAGCAGGAATATAATGGTTATATTAAAAAAGATGTATTAATGGAGTATTAGGGAACGAATTCAAAAGTAACGGTAGAAATAGTTCGGTTTAACATAACTCCATGTTTTCTTTCATATATAACAATACATTTGATGGTGCGTGTGACTGGCGTGATGAATTCAAGGTTGTGAAGAGGCTTTAAAAGGATTTCTTATAAATGTATGTACAACAATAGTTATTTAGAATGGAACAAACAGGATCAGGAATTGTGGAACTTAAGCAAATAAAATGGTTGAATATGGAGTATTATAAGATACATACACAAATAATCTGATCAAGAAAATACATGTATTGTTTATTGTGAATCTGCTTAGGCAATTAATAAAGTCTAAAATTATAAGTAAAAGTATACGTTCATAGAACGAAATAAAAGATTGTGTAAACTGGAGAACAGATTGATTTATGAATAAATAAAAGCTAGTTCGAAAAGTTATGCGCGAGTTGCAGGTAATAGGCCCCATCTATGGTTAGACTCTAATATTTCTAATCAGATTTGTAGATTTAGTTGCCTAATATAAGGCATGCAAATTATTTTCTAATAATTGCGGAAGCGAAAAAATTGCAGTTAAAATTCGATGCTGCATTTTCAGAGATATACTGGTCAATTGGACAGTGACGAAATAGTGTCGCCTGTTCCATTGATGAATGGGTATGTAGAGGACTTCTTGTTACTGCTTTTCGGTGTTGTAAGACTATTAAAAAGGGGTGAGTATTGCGAAGAATTGATGGTTGGATGCAGAAATGGTGGAGTGAAAATTTCAAATTTGGTGGGTGTCATGCGCATTATGGGGCACGCCGCCCCGTGCATCGGACATGTTTGCATTCGACATCCGGCAGTCGTTGTTCCCCTTATGGAGGTAGCGTCGCGGCGAAGATCTACTACTAACGAGACGCGCATCCCGTCCTCGCGAAACCACCGAACCATCTTGGAAAAAACCGCGTCCAGTTGGCCATATTTCGGCAGATGGAGACCCCAAACTCGGAAGGTGTCGTCCTACCGGACATTTCCGAAGCCGAACACCTTGCGAACGAGCACGATGGCGGCGAGAACGGCGGCGACAACTCGGTGGACAATAAGGACCACATCACCGTCCAAACCGTAAGACATGGAGGAGTTCCTGTCACGTTACCCGTGGGTTCCCTCATCACGTCCACCTTCAACGTCATCTCCTCGGATCAGCTGCCTCACTTTAAGCCCATGCTCTGTGTAGACAATAATGGCTACATAGCGACTGATGGCTCCGGCGGAGAGCTTAAGACGATTGTCCTCCAGGAGGAGGTATCCTCCGGCAATACCCCAGTAGCCGTCTCCGCAGTTAACATAGGCTCTTGGAGTGAGTCAGCCAGTCTACCTGTGCTACCCATCCGATGCAAAACCACATCAGCTGAGTTGCATAAGAACAGATTTGGATCAGGGGGCAGAGGTAGATGCATCAAACTTGGAACTGCTTGGTACACGCCTAGCGAGTTTGAGGCGCTCTGTGGGAGGGCTTCTAGTAAGGACTGGAAGAGAAGCATCCGATTTGGAGGTAGAAGTCTCCAGACACTTATTGATGAGGGTATAATACTTCCCCATGCAACAAGTTGCACATGTGCAGCTTGCTGCGATGATGAAACAGCCACAGGCCCAGTCAGACTATTTACACCATACAAAAGGAAACGAAGAAAAGAAAATGAAGGTAATTATACTTACCAACACAATTATATTTCACATATCAACACATATAGAAGTTTTCATATTATGTATATCTAATTTGAGACCTACAGCATTTCAAACAAAAAAACAATAACATAACAACACTTTATATAACTTTCAGCATACTTAGATTTTTCAAATATACAAAAGTTCCATTACAAAACATATATTTCTTAGCTATTACTCATTTCCTCAATTTGATAATCTAAACCATGACTTCATATATAAATAAATGCTTCTTGCATATAATAGACAAGATTTCCTATAACATAAAATATGTATTATGAAAAATGTGTTTTAGCACTCTTTATGTACAGAAGGAGAATATTGTGTATTGTCAGCAAATAACTTTAATAACAGTAAACCTGTTCTGACATTAAAAAGCATAAAGTACATACTAAGCAAGAATATTAAAGTTTATTTTGAAATTTAGTAAAAATCTTTTTATTATATCTAATTTAAAAACTCATTACTTAAGTAAATGTGTGATAAGTATTTTTAATCACACAAATTGTTATCTTGACTAATTTGCAATGTATGATTCATATTTAATTGTTTATTTAACAAATTTGTAAATAGGATATAAAAATTCTCGTATTTTCAGGATCAAATAAAAAACGGGAACACAGCGGGGATGATAGCGAAGATGGTCATCCTTCCAAGGAGGAGGCATGGCAGAATCTCGCTGAAGGATTGGACAGCAGTGAATACCACTTGATGGAACCAGTTGGTAACTCTGACCCGACGGCGATTTTAAAAAGATTGGAAGAAATATCGAATGCGATCGGACGTTTATCAAGTGAATTCAAGCGAGGCGTTGAGGAAGTCAAAGAAGTGATCAGTCGACAAACCGAGAAATTTCAAAGGGAGAAGGATTCCGCAGTGCTCGCTGCGAGGGTCGAAGCACAAGTTGCAGCCCTTCAGCCCGAATCCAATGATAATACTTTACAACCCTCCATGGACAATGAGCAACAGAAGAAGGTTTTTATAGTTTTACAAATTAACGTACATATCAAATTAATTGATCTTTTTTTCACAGTGCGCAAATTGTAATAGGGAAGCGCTGGCCGAGTGTTCCTTGTGCCGAAGGACTCCATATTGTTCGACGTTTTGTCAGAGAAAGGACTGGGGTTCCCACCAAGTGGAATGCGTTAGAGGTGTTGCCAATGATACGCAGCAACAGTCTATTATGCTCATCGTCGAAAGCTCTGAGCAACAATAAATATATAGAATTAATTTTATATGTATAAATACGATATACCATATATATATATACTGTTTTTATTTTAAGAATTTCTCTCTTCGACAATTATCATTTTTACTGTTTTGTTTTAATTTGAAGAAAAAAAATGCAGCTTTGTATTAGTACTTAAGTTCTTACATATATATATATTTTTAATTTCATTCTTAAATAGTTTTATACGAACTAAGTATTGCTGTTTAAAATTGTTATCAGCAAAATTGTGATACAATTAAGATATAAATACAAAACAAATTGTTATAAATTAATAGCATGCGCACAACAAGAATATTCATGTTATTATTCCTGGTTTTCTTTTATTACAGTCGGTATGTATATAGGGTTACGAATGGCAACATTTCTAATTGAAGGTTGATTAACTCTTCGTAACTTATTTTTTTTTAATATTTATATTTTATAAATTTTTGTTATTGTTGCTCTTCTAAATTCGACGAGTTTTTATTTTCTGGTAATTCATTATATCACCATAATAATAAACTATATATTTTGATTAATTGCAAAGTTTATGTTTTATTTTTTAATTATTGAGACAATTTTTTACAATCTAAATACGCACACAAAGTACATAAGTATTTGTATAATGAAGTACAAAGTATTTTTTATATAATGGAATGGGTCAATATTTAGTTTGCTATTACTTTGAAATAGAACTGGTTGATGGCAGATAATATATTCACCAAAGGGACGCCCTCAAACAAATGCTTGCAAATGCTATGTTTGGTTGCCTAAATAAATATAATAATTTTGATATCAATAGATGGAGCGTTGTTACGCATCATATTGCGTCTTCTGCATTAAGGAAACGGAGACTAATAACTTTGTAGAAATAACAATAGATGAAGATTTACAAAAATTAAACTTTCGACACACGGAAAACAAATAAGGCTTTGATTACTATTGTTTATTGAATGAATTATTATCAAAGTACAATTCAATTGAGATATAATACAGGAAATTTCAAAGGTATATCAATGGACGGTTATTGTATTTAAATATTCTAATGATTATGATATTGTGTATGAATACATTTACAATTAAAATGTTGCGTAGAAATCTGAAGAAATTTTAATTCATTTCAATATAATTGAATACAAATAAAAAAATTGGTGAATTTTGGTCAGTTTGCAGAAAATCCTCTTAACAAATGTTTGTATATTATAGATATAAAAAATAGGGCATAATTTAGGTAATAAACTAAAAATATGGTGGTGCGTCAGTTCATCATGAAAATCTTGATATGAATGAAGGAATCTTATCAAAATTCTAAGAACACTCTGTTAAATACTCGTGAATTTATCGCGTAACACAAATTGCCCTCTTCATCTAAAGAAATTGAGATTATTTCTATAATTTAATTTAATTCATTGAATTCAAACGAATTAATTGAATTCTGGATTAGTAATTGAAGGAATTACATAATTTGTGTTAAAAAAACGCAATTTTTCAAAAACGACCATTTTCTGAATATCATACGATAAGCATCAGTTCAAATCATGATGTAAACAATTCGAGGATTAACACTAAATCCTTCGATATCTCAGATACCAAAGTATAAATAGCGTATTAGAAATCAACTAAAAAATCCAATACATCTTTTATTTGCAATGGAATTAAAAGCGTTATAGAATTAATTCGATTGCTCGTTGATAAAGTTTTCCTACATTTTGTAAATCCGAGATTTGATTTTTTTATTGATGATAAGCTGTAATTCGTGGAATTAAATATTTGCAATGTATGGGAAATTTAAATAAATTATTAATCTGATTGTTTTCCTATCGACAGATAACAGTTTAATCTGCGGTAGCCAACATCACCTATATAAAACCATCCAACTGGTTTACGATTGTTTTAATTGATATTTGCGTATAGTGTAATGTAAGTCATTATTGTTGATCTTAATAATAATAATAATTCGAAAGTGTTTTGATTATTGTCTTTTCTTTTGTATTTTATAGATGAAATTTGCATTAGTTCTTTTGGGCCTTGCGGCCCTGGCTACGGCCGACGCGGCCAGTTGCGATCCTACAAAGTGCGTACTTCCGGATTGCAGGTGTCCGGGAACTGATATTCCCGGTGGCATGGACATCCAAAACATTCCTCAGGTAAATCAAAATCTATTGACGATAATCTTTAATCTTGTGAAATTTAATTTAGATGGTGTACTTCACCTTCGACGATGCCATCACCGCAGAGAACTTTGGAAAATACGAATCCTCCTTCTTCCACAGGAAGAACCCGGACGGATGCCCGATGTCCGCGACATACTTTGTTTCTCACGAATACACCGATTACAGCAAGGTTTGGCGATTCCGTCGCATGTTTGATTGTTATCAGCGAGAATAACAGCTTTATTTTTAACTAAGCTCCATCAATTGCACGCTCACGGACATGAGATTGCGTTGCACTCCATCACTCACACTTCGATGTCCGATTATTGGCGCAATCTTCCGGTTGAGGAGCACTTGAAAGAGTTCGGAGGCGAGAAGGTATTGATCAGCAAGTTCGGAAACATCCCCGAAGAGGACATCAAGGGCTTGCGTCTTCCGCTCTTGCAATTATCCGGTAATTTATGGATTGTGTAACATTGCAAAACATGGTTTTAACATTCCATTTTGTAGGAAACAACTCGTTCATCGCTGCTAATCAAATTGGTCTCAGTTATGATTGTTCTTGGCCTTCGAGGCAATTCGTCGAACCCGGTTTGTGGCCATATACCTTAGATTCTGGAGCTACTCACGATTGTCCTCTGGGTGATTGTCCAACCAATCTGCAGCTTCCTGGCTTCTGGGTCTCCCCGATGGTCATGTGGTTCGATGACATCAATGTCAGTTGCTCCATGGTCGATGCCTGCACTAATATGTTAGAAATATTCTGAAACATAAACAACCAATTTGTTATATTTATCAATAATTTCAGTCCTGACGATGTCGACGGTATTTTCAAGTTCATGTTGAGGAATTTCGAGTTGCAGTACAAAGGAAACAAGTCTCCATTCGGTGTTTACATGCACGCCGCTTGGTTCGGACAAAGGGCGAACGCTTTCGAAGCTTTCAACAAATTCTTAGATCATCTCGAGTCCTTGGACGATGTCTATGTGGTAATTCAATGAGAATTAAACGTAAAATGAACAATTCGCTACTTTGTTGCATGTTTTCAGACCAGCGTTGGTAGAGGATTGAATTGGGTGAAGAATCCAAAGAATCTTCAAAATCTGGACGACGTCTGGTCCAAGTGCCAACATACCTATGAGCCAGTTTGCAATTCGCAGGTTTGCAAATTGTTCAAAGGTGTAGAGGAGAGGTACATGACTGTTTGTGGTGAATGCCCCAACGAGTATCCTTGGTTGGAAAATCCCTTGGGAGATTAATCAAAAATGATATATTTTATTTAGTAAACAATTAGTATACTTAATGTAATAATACACGCACATATAGTAGACATAATAACAATAAATACTGAGAAATTTTCATTTTAATTGAATCCTTTACTTTTTATCATATCCACAATGTTTACATAAGATGTTTTATATGTTTGTTGAAGCTTACATGATTTATTATTTCTGAGAAAAAATAGCTTATAGAATCTCATGTATTACAATGTGAAAATAGTTTTGTTAAGTTTAAAATTTGTTCAAGACTAAGTGAATTATGTATACTAACATAGCGTAGTGGTTGATTGTACTAAAGTACAAAAATATCTACGACATTTACTTAAAAAAAGACTTTAATTGTATACAGTATACAAAATTAATCAATTCGAATTAAATTAAGTTTAAAACATTTAAAGTAAGAACTTGAGTTTAAATGTTCATATCAAGTTTGAATAAAAAGACACTTCAGTCTAATGAAAATGTTAGAAGTTTTATGTGGTTATTATGAATAAAAAATTAGTGGAAACTTAATGCAAGATAATACAATTGTACAAAAATAGTGGAAAACAATTTACAAAGTAAGATTTGCCAAAAAATGTGGAACGCTTCACGATTTTGCGTGTCATCCTTGCGCAGGGGCCATGCTAATCTTCTCTGTATCGTTCCAATTTTAGTATATGTATTGCCGAAGCAAGTACAAGGTTATATCCGTAGACTATATACTTAACTGGTTTACCTTCTTACATTGAAGAAGTAGAGCTTATAAATGTATCAACTTATATTTATTTATTATAAAGTTAATTATGATATTCTTCTACAAATTTATTAATAATATATTATTTACAATAAATATATAATTAATTATTGTTATATTTTAAATATACTATTAAAATTATAAATTATTATATTTTTTTAAGAAGTTATGCAACCAACTACTAAGCTATAGTTGAAAGGTAGACTAAGTCGGAGTTAGGTTGCTATTGGATAACACAACTTATTTCTTATTTTGAAGAAATTATTTAAATACTGCAGCTCTTTTATTTGTTATAAATAATAACATATGATTATTCAAAATTATAAAATTAAAATTTATGCAATAGATAAAGCTTCTTCGTTATATAAATATTTAAGTAGGTCATTTATATATGAAATAAGTAAATGGATTGCAATTATTTTATTGATAAAATTTGTGTTAACAATGTTGTTAACTCTAAGAGACACCATTGATTATTATATTTATAAAATATACACAAGCGTAGACGATTATTATAAGTTTAAAGTACAAAAAAAATCGATAACCACCCAAAATTATACGTGTAAAAGATAATATTGTTTGAAACATTTAGAGGTTGGCTTGGGGTAACCTCTGGGCTTTGATGCCTGCACTGAGTTTGTTTCCGAAAGTTTCATCGACTTGGGCAAAGTTCTTGATGACGCGATCCTGGATAAAATCGCTTGCATCCTTCAGGTGTCCGACGATGTTGGAAGCCAACCTGTCCCTCTCCGCTTGGTTCAAAGTCTTCTGGTAGAAGGCGCGAGCTTGCGAGAAGTTATCTTCATGACCGCTGTCGTAACGAAGCGCTTCACCGCTGACTGCGAACGGAGGATTGAGAGACTTGGCCCTTGGGCAGTTCGTGGGACCGTCGAAACTGTTGGGATGGTAGTTGGGAGCGCCTCCTTGGTTGACCATGCATTGGGGACCGTCGCGCTGGTAGTTACGTACACTGAATGGACAGTTTACGGGGATTTGAAGGTAGTTGGCGCCGAGACGGTGCCTGTGGGTGTCTCCGTATGAGAAGAGACGACCGAGCAACATCTTATCGGGAGATGGTTCGATTCCAGGAACCATATGAGCTGGACTGAAAGCGATTTGTTCTACTTCCGAGAAGTAGTTCTCTGGGTTGCGATTCAACGTGATCCTTCCGACTGGGATTAGCGGGTATTCAGAATGTGGCCAGATTTTGGTCAGATCGAACGGATTGAATTTGCATGACGCAGCTTGTTCCATGCTCATGACTTGGATGGAGAATGTCCACGATGGATACTGGCCGTTGGCGATGGCATTGTAAAGATCGCGCAGCGAGTAGTCTGGATCAGAACCGGACAATGCATCGGCTCTCTTCACGTCCAAATTCTTGATCTTTTGGTCGGTTTTGTAGTGGAACTTGCAGTACACCGGCTTTCCTTCCGCGTTGATCAGCTTAAAGGTGTGGGAACCGTAGCCGTTCATGTGTCTGTAACCATCTGGAATACCGCGATCGGAGAAGAGGAACATGACTTGATGGGTGGTTTCAGGTCGCAGCGAGATGAAATCCCAGAACATATTGGGGTCCTTGCAGTGGGTCGCAGGGTTCCTCTTTTGAGTGTGGATGAAACTGGGGAAAAGGATGGGATCCCTGATGAAGAAGATTGGCGTGTTGTTGCCAACCAAATCCCAGATACCCTCATCGGTGTAGAATTTCACGGCGAAACCGCGAGGATCGCGCACGGTGTCCGCGGATCCGGATTCACCGCCGACGGTCGAGAATCTCACGGCTACTGGTGTCTTCTTGCCGATACCTCCGAAGACTTTGGCGGCGCAGTATTTGCTGATGTCGTGGGTGACCTCGAAGTGACCGAAGGCGCCAGCACCTTTAGCATGGACCACACGCTCTGGGATACGTTCTCTGTCGAAATGAGCTATTTCTTCGATGAAGGCAACATCCTGGAGGAGCAGAGGTCCTCTGGGTCCCACAGACATGGTAGCATCCTTGGTGATGAGTGGGACACCATGACCAGTTGTTGCAACACCGTCATTCTAAAATGTATTATAGAATATATAAGTTTTACTTTTCTAACAAATGTACAAAATATTCACAACTACATTAGACAATCACATGTCCTTGAACAAACAAAATAGTTTATACCGTATTTATAAATACTTGAGAATGAATATCTAGATATTCACGTTTTTTAATTGTTTACCGAAACATTAATAGATTGTTTTTACTTAAAATAAGTAATTGAATGTTGAAATGTCAATTCTAAATAAATTTATTTGCAAAAAGTGGTTATAATAGTATCTAAGTGACATTAATTTTAATCTTAAACCAAACAAATAAAAAGTTATTTAGTATGACTAAATATGACTAGAACATAATAACTTAAAAACCATGAAATGTGGAAGACATCAATTCAAAACTGATGAAACCAAAAACTGGTCTGCGACGGATCGCAACGCAATAATACAAAATGTATATGATTTTAAACTTGGCTGATTGAAAGTCGTGCTTGTGCAATTCCTCTATACATTTTGCATGAGCTGTCTGAATATCTACAATATATCTATTAGGCACACCAAGCACGCAACATCAAAGTGCACATTCATTTTATTATAAACAAACACAAGATAATAACGAGTGTTCAAACCACAACTAATAAATTAGTCTGTTTTTGTATTTACCTATTTTGTCAGTAATATTTTATTTAGTTGTATAATTATAAATATAATTTATTTTTGAATAATTTAATCAGTTTGTCCAGTCTGAATGATGGAAGGTAACTTACGGAAACATTAAAATTTAATTGCTAAAATTAAAAATGTTGTTACTAATTTGCAGCATGATCAAAACATAATTTGTTTTAATAATTAAATTTATAGGTTTACACACATAATCAAACGATAAACGAATTAATATAAACTTATCTAGTTAAGAAAATCGTGTCCTTACATTATTATACCTTAAATTTCTTAATTAACTCAACAGTTAAATTTTCAATTATTATTAATAAACATAAAAAATAAGATATAAATTCTTAATTAACAGTAATTTTTCTTCGTGCATCATTAATAATGCACATCCATTTATCTGAAATCGTGCGTCGAGAATTGAAAACTCGTTTCCGTAAATAGATTCTAAATGTAACAAATTCATGCGAGAGAAGCATCGTCGGATTTTGTACTGCGCAATAAAACTTGCATAATATTCAACAGGAGAAATTATTAAGTAATTGGGAAACACAAAATAGTCCAATTACAAGTGCATTGGACGTAATGATAGATGAGTTTGTTTACAATCCACAATTCCATTCAACTCTGATAATGCATTAAAAAGTTATTGATTCTCAATCTGTTTTCTATAATACTTAGAAATGTATAAAGTATCACTGTAAATTGATGATAAATGTTGAATTAAAGTAATATACACTATAATTATCTGTTTATTTACGAATATAAAGTGGGAAACAGTCTGCATCAATAATAAAATTGTAAATAAAATAAAAATCGCATTTTATGAAATTTCATATGATTTTTATAGTTTGCGAAATGAAACTAAAACAATTGACGCAAATGCGTTCGTATTACGTGGAATTACCGATGCGCTTTATAAATAACAAGCTTATTATAATGTTTTACGTAATATCGCTGCGATAATTTCAAAATTTATTTGTAGCTATTTTTAGCAACAAGACTTTGAACATTGATTGTCTTCACGATATTTTTTTTATGATATGTATTTAAATCGTCTTGAACTCTCATAACAAGAACTTGACAACAGATTATGTTATAGACCAGCGTTTCTCAACTTTGCGCGACGCAACTTGTTAGTTTGTAGTTGTACTGCGATCGAATTGTTTATTACAATTTTTCTTGACGTTCTGACGCATCGTGACAAATGTCTAACAATCATAGGTTGAGAAACGCAATTATTGAAATTCATAAACCTAAAGTTTTCAAAAAGCTAAAAACTTTGAACTGAATCAAACTTTAACTATGTTAAATTAGAATACATTTGTAAGGAATGCACAATTTGATTATTACATGGTAAATACTTATATATTTCAATGATATTTTATAATCTACAAACATAATTACATCAATGATTTGTATGCAATACAAAAATATGATTATTTGGAAGAAAGTAAACATTTAGGTTACCAAGGTTACAATAACAAAACATATTATTTAATGTCAGAAATATTAATAAAAACAATATTGAATCAACTGAGTAATCTATAGATACAATTATAGTAAAAGTATGGAGATTAAAGCTAATGGGAATTCATACATCAAAACCCTTTTAACTGATTACTGTAAAATACATATTATATGCATTAATAAAGGCTTTCATTTCGATTGGATTGTTGTTATGATTATTGTAATGAGATGCATTAATTTTCGATTAATTAACTTTATCGTTTCACTTTCGCTAAACAACGAATATCGGACTAACATTATCAGTAAAAACGTCAATTGGTAGATAAAAGCAGACGTGTTGAAATTTAGTTTTTTTCCTCGAAAACCGCGTTTTTACTAACAATATTTTCACTTACGTAATAATTTAATATTTAAATACAATATATAAACTATACGAAGAATTTAAATCAATCCAGTTAGATTAATTTGCATAATGCTCTCGTAAATACATGACTTGTGTTGCAATAATATTAACATATTTATGTAGGATCATTGAGGCTATTCAGATCAGAATTAAGATATAATTTTAACTAAATTCTAATCTGAATGTTCCGAACATTAAAATTATAAGAGATTTTCAAGAAATTTCTAAAATTTTTAACTTTCTATTGATAATTGCATTTTGATAAAACGAAATGTTTTGAATGCTTAACATTTTTTACTTTCAAATTTGATTGGATTCAAATAAGAATTCTTATTTCATTCGTATAATCTAGTTTTGTTTTCAAATATGCCGTGCATAAAGTTCCAATATTTCAATTTCAAATATTTTAGCCAACTGCATTCTATTCAAAAACATATTTTTTGTAACTTCTATATTAAAATATTCGATATTGTATTAAAATGAATTGGTTATAATATAATTTTACATGACATGCATTAAATTAAAGATATTTTGATTTAAAAAATGTTATTATAAATGTATTGAATGAAACTGGAACGCACAAGCTACATAATTATTGCATAATAAGTCTCTGCTTGAATGCAGCAATAAGAGGTCACGAATACATTGTTTTGTGCGATTGCAAAAGACATCGAGAGCATTGGACTCTTGATGACAGTGTGTTACGAGACACGAACCGGTATTTTCTGCACATTCGTTGTTGCACCGACAGAAAGCAAATAAATGGCAACCAGCAATATTCGTTCATGTAATTTCATTTTCCCATCAAATCATTATCATAGATAAATCTTTTAAAAAACGTTTCGAGCCGAATCTAGATCACGATAAGTACACTTTCTAATGGAAATATTGGCCAAACCCAACAGATTCGTTAGGTGAAAAGTTAATAGAAAACTGTTGATTTGTTTTTTGCGTGACCCGAATAGATCAAATGAATATTTAAAAACAGTATGCGCCGGTTACATTGTGCGAAGAATAAGAAAATGCATATTAATGAATGATAAATGACTATGCAACTTGGGTTGTTTTTCGCATCCGAATAATAGGGAAAATCAGCTAATTGTATGTAATTACATAAAATTGGTTCTAATTGCGTGCATGGTACACTGCGACAAGTGCCACGAAAGGATGTTATCGATATTTATCAACGCCAATATGTTTTATAATCACTTGAACTTTTATCGCAACTTATATTTTTTTTTCTCTTTCCATGTAATTAAAATTATATTTATTGTACCATGAGTACGCAACTATCAAGTGTTTGTATTACGAAACTGCTGAGAGAAGACTGTAACCTAGAAAGCTGTTAATGATTAACTTAATTACCTTCTTCTGTTCTTTATAGTTTTGGAGTTGACTGGCAACTTTATCGGTCGATGCCATATTTGTTGTTTTTGTTGTCGACGACGTCGATAGAGGATAAGCACTTCGATCGAATTTCAACAGTGAAATGTCGAGCGGCCACAGCTCCAACAATATTTTGTTATTCAAGCTCCGCTTCCTGCGCTTGCGTAAGATGAACATCGACAACAAGTTGCTAATGTTCCATCGCATTTCTGATATTCGAATTTGATTTGTTCTAGCAACTTCTCCAATTCAATCATTCGCATGATTGTCAATGTGCATCATCATTAATGACATTTAAATTGAAACAGTATTCAAACTACATTAGTTTATGTAATATCTTATACATTACTCTACTTCAGCGGTTTCCAAACTTTATACTACTACGCCTCCCCGAAATTTTTTTTTACGCGCCTCCCTTACCTTTTACTGTTTTAATAGATTAAATAATATAGACACGTTTTATTTATTATGGTATAGAAATTATTTTTTTAAAATTGTTTGGCGTCTCCCCTGACAAGAGTCCGCGCCTCCCAGTTTGGAAACCGCTGCTCTACTTGATATTCAAAATAAATGTATATAAATCTAATAAGAAACATTACATCTAAGTAATCTCCTATTTGAAATGAAGATACCAATGTTTTTCTTGTATCATTTGAATTGTATAAATATTTTCATAACTTAAAAATATATTTTGAGTTAAAATATCCTTAAAATCTTTATATAGTTTCAAGAGATAAAATTAAATAGTATACAACCAAATATACACAAAGTTTAAATATAATTCGTATATTATTACTACAACATTAATAACAAACTAAAGCTAACTTATTTCTTGGTAACTTCGTCTGGTGGAGCCGTGTACAACTTGAAATCCATGGGTTTATCGTAACCCATGATTTTCGCGTAATGTGTAGGGTCATCGAAGGCTGAGGCTTCTAAAAACAGCGCCTTCTTCTTAGCGAACAACGTCGTGAACATGCCAGGAACGTCAGGTACGTACACATCATCTGGCTTAAACTCCAGTTTCTTCTCCATGCAAAGAACATTGTAGGTAGTTGCTATATAACTTCCATTGACTCTATCATAATCTAGCTTAATAACGTATTTTTTTGTGACAAAGTGCAACAGTATGGGCGTTGCAAAGGTGAAGAAACCAACAAATGAGCATCCCACTACTAATAGAGGCACACTTTGCAGTTTGGAAAGCTCCAAGTAAATGATTGGTTGAGCTGCTAAACCAGCAACACTGGTCATCAATGAGAATATCTGGAACAACGTTATTATTATAATCTGATTGGAATTGCTGTTGGTGTTCTAATTACCTTAACATTTTTGATTTGGCGACTGAGATTACCAAAATAAACCTGCAGTTTGTTGTCTGTGTTGGTTTTGTCTGAACAATGCCTCACCAGAGTTTGCGATCCTAGGCTTGATAACTTTATCGTGTTGCTGAATTGTTTTTGGGTATTTAAGTGTTTTAATAACACTCGGGACACCGTTCGTAAAGACATGTTGAGGAATTATGTGATTCTTTTTCTACCTAACCTCAACTCTCTGACAGTTGTTCTTAGGCTACCAACTTTACAGCAATTGTTTTGTTACTCTTAAAATACATGCATGTAGTTAATTATACCAATTGCATTGTTTTTAAAAAAATTTAGACATTTAAATTTAAGAGATATTAATATTAAATAGACACATTTTTTAAGTATTAAAATGTTTCTTGAAATTGGTTTGGTTACTGATTTATTCAGTTTAAGAATAATCCAAGATTTGTACATATTATTATTATTTGGTTATTGGTATTGTTTTAAAATTGGTACATTGTTTGTACTGTTGCCTAAACTGCATCAAATTACAGTTGACAGGATTGAGGTTATGGATAGGCAGCAGTAGTTGAGTTATGTGACCGACGGGAGAGTTTGTTGGAAAATAGATTGGCAAGGAAAAAATTTGACATGGCATACAGGTTACTGAACACAGGTCGCAAGTTAGAAAAGTTCTTGTGGCAGAATTTCCGCGTACACAGCGTCGAGGCAGTTAAGGTACAGTATTTCACAACGTTTCGCCATGATTGCTTGATCAATTTTGTTTCATGCATTTGCAGAAGACGTCCGCCTTTAAAAATGTCCTACAACAGTGCAAATTGTTCTGTGAGAAACCGCCGAAAGGTTTCGAAAAGTATTTCGAGAAAGGTGGACCGGTGAAGAAGGCGCCTGGGAAAGCAGAGCCAGCTAAAGAAGCAAAGGAAGCAAAACCTCCCAAAGAGGCAGCTGATCCACAGCCAAGACCAAATATTGATTCTGGGGCTAACAAGGGGGCCAAACAGTATGATAACTGGTCATTTGGACTGTTTGGTGGAACTGGAAGTAGGTATGATATCTCAAATAAAATTTATGACTTTATACTAAATACATATAACTATTCAGAGGAAGCGGTGGCAAACCATTTGGAGATGGAGAGAAAGACAGATATTATATAATAGGAGCTGTTGGTGCAATTGCTTTCCTGGCAACATTAGCATTCTGGGAAATGGGTTACAAAGAAATTGGATGGAAAGAATTTGTACATACGTAAGTATATTTTGTATTAAAAAAATGAAAATGTCCTAATGATTTATTTTTTTGTAGTTATTTAAGCAGAGGCATTGTTGAGAAATTAGAGGTTGTAAATAAGAAATGGGTACGCGTAAAGTTGACACCAGGGAATGCAGTTGATGCAAATGTGAGTTGATTAAGGTTTGAAGTTCCAATTCAATTAATTTTCACTATTTGTTTGTAGAATGTTCTGTGGTTTAACATTGGTAGTGTAGACTCATTTGAAAGGAACTTGGAGAACGCCCAAATCGAAATGAGTATAGAGCCGCCGAATTTCGTGCCTGTGATCTACAAATCAGAACTAGAAGCCTCCAGCCTATCAGGACTATTACCGACAATATTAATAATCGGTTTTGTTCTATATATGATGCGTCGCTCCGCTGAGATGATGGGCGGAAGGAGAGGAAAGCGCGGCGGTGGTCTTTTCGGCGGTGTCATGGAAAGTACAGCCAAATTAATCAATTCAAGTGATATTGGAGTTAGGTTTAAGTAAGTCACGGAAATGGATTTCTAAGTATGAGCAGTGTTTTCATTGATTGCATTTCAGGGACGTAGCCGGTTGCGAGGAAGCAAAAATTGAGATCATGGAGTTTGTTAATTTCTTGAAAAATCCTCAACAATATATCGATTTAGGAGCTAAAATTCCGAAAGGAGCTATGTTGACAGGTCAGTAATTTCGTATATTGTTTGGCAGAAGGATGTGTGTAATGTTTTTTTGTTTTGATGCAGGTCCTCCTGGTACTGGTAAAACTTTACTTGCGAAAGCTACTGCCGGTGAGGCCAATGTGCCGTTCATCACAGTATCCGGTTCAGAGTTTTTGGAAATGTTTGTTGGTGTCGGTCCTTCAAGAGTTAGAGATTTGTTCTCGATGGCTCGAAAGCACGCTCCGTGTATTTTGTTCATTGACGAAATCGATGCTGTTGGTAGGAAAAGGGGAGGCAGGAGTTTCGGCGGACATTCTGAACAGGAGAACACCTTGAATCAACTGCTGGTTGAGATGGATGGTTTTAATACTACTACCAATGTCGTGGTGCTGGCAGCCACAAATCGCGTGGATATTCTCGACAAAGCCTTGTTGCGTCCTGGCCGTTTCGATAGGCAGATCTTCGTTCCGGCTCCGGACATCAAAGGCCGCGCCAGTATTTTCAAAGTCCATCTGGGACCACTTAAAGCTAATTTGAATAAGGACGAACTTGCTAGGAAAATGGCTGCCCTGACTCCAGGCTTCACCGGAGCGGACATCGCTAATGTCTGCAACGAAGCGGCTCTGATCGCTGCAAGAGATTTGAACGAGTCCATTGTCATGAAACATTTTGAACAGGCCATCGAGCGTGTCGTTGCTGGTATGGAAAAGAAAACAAATGTATTGTCGCCCGAGGAAAAGAAGACGGTGGCTTACCATGAAGCCGGACACGCAGTAGCCGGTTGGTTCTTGGAGCACGCCGATCCACTGCTTAAAGTGTCCATCATCCCCAGGGGAAAAGGATTAGGATACGCACAATATTTACCAAAGGATCAATACTTGTACACCAAAGAACAGCTGTTCGATAGGATGTGCATGACCTTAGGCGGTCGCGTCTCCGAGGAGTTGTTCTTCGGTAGAATTACCACAGGCGCGCAGGACGATCTCAAGAAGGTGACACAAAGTGCGTACGCTCAGGTCGTTCATTACGGTATGAACGAGAAGGTTGGAAACGTCAGTTTTGATATGCCAAAGGATGGAGAAATGATGCTCGAAAAGCCATACTCTGAATCGACTGCTCAGATAATCGACTCGGAGGTCAGGATTTTAATTGATGGTGCCCACAAACACACAACTAATCTGCTCAACAAACACAAGGTTGACGTAGAAAAGGTGGCTGAGAGGCTGCTGAAGCAAGAGATCATCAGCAGAGAAGACATGATTGAAATATTGGGAAAGAGGCCGTTCGTTGAGAAATCCACGTACGAAGACTTCGTAGAGGGCACTGGTTCTCTCGAAGAAGATACCACCTTACCTGAGGGATTGAAAGAATGGAATAAGGAGAGGAATAAGCCCAGCAATAAGGAAGCGCCGAAAGATAGTGTTCCAGATTTATAAATACAAAATAAAGCGAGCGTGAAAACGATACGAATAAATTCTGTTTGTAATAATACTTTTCTTTCTTGTGTACGAGATAATAGTTATATTTTTTTGTTAATATTAAGTAGTAAATAATAATAAAAAATATTAACGTCGTTTATATTTTTTAACTAGATTCGCAAGAATTCGTGCGGTTTCTTTTCCGCACCAAAAATGTTCATCACATATATTATTAGGCACATTATTGTTTCTAGACTGTATTATATCGTTGATATACATATTTGAAATGGTAATTTTTATTAATGTTTCTGAGTTTTCTTTCGCATTTTAACATACCTGCATTTCCAAATAATAGTTAATATTATGTTCTGCCTTTTATAGGAATAAAAATGCAATTTTACAACTTGAAAGAATTGAACGTAAAAAGATTTTTTTTAGTTACGTTTATATCAAATAGCAAGAACATACGAATTACTTACTTGTCGACGAAATATATAAAGTGTTCCTATGAAATGTGAGTATGTACTTAATTATCGCTGATGATAAGAAAATCTAACAATATTTTAAATTAAGATCAAGTCTGTGCTGAGGAACTGCAGGGTATTATAAGCATATCCATTTTATGATCTAAATCTATTTTACAGTTACTATAATAACAATATCAAGTAGTTGACATCTGTCAATGTAAAACAAATTTGTAAGTCAAGTTATTATGATTGGACGATATGAAAATATAAATATTTTGATGAGATAAAAGTTCTTGATTTTTATGATTCCTAGAAATTTATTTAACATATTTTAGATTTTTCTAGAAATTCGTTATAGTATAGATTTCAGAAGTCCATTTTTTTTTGCTTTTTATCTAATTGTATAAATATTATATATACGTACAAATTGCGCTATTTTAAAATGGAAAGAAGACAGTTATTGAGTAATCAATCTAAAAAAACTATATAATTTCCGGAGGCTCTACGAAACTTCTCAAATAAGAACATTTATTTCCCCCGAACGAAGTTCGTAAAACTGCACTTGATTAAATAACTAATTTTAAAGTTTCTCAATTTAAATATATAATTCCTGTACCTCTATGTATAGAGTCCAGTCACTTCTATATGTAATTATATAGATATTAATATGTATTTAAATAAATTATTTTTCAAAGTTTTTAAATAAAATCCTTTAATAAACAACGAACGTTTGTAGAGAAACTTTTATAGGTATGAAAAAACTATTACATACATTATACAAAGCGAGTAAAAAAGGGATTTCTTGAAATTAGTAAATAGCGCTAGGTAATATTATCTCATATTTATTAAAATAAGTATACTTACAAATCTTTTTCAGATAAATATTTCGTTCAAAATATTTTATGTCTTTAATAATCACGCTTTTGGTAATGTCTACTTTATTAAGGTATATCTTTTATTTTGAGTCTGAGCAATCATTGATGAAAATGGAGGAATGTAACAAGTGTATATCAATCGTTCGTTGCGGAGTAACGCACTCCAAGTGCGTATCTATATGCGTGCCGCGTAGAATTCACCTGAGTTCACCTGTTGATTTATAAGATTGAGGTATTCAACAGGTAATTTATTACGGAACACTTTGAACAGCAATGATACACACAAATAAATTAAATTGAGCGCGCGCCGTCCGTTCGCAATGGAAATCTGAAGCGAAACAGTAAAAGATCGAATAGATAGATGTATGCGGAACGACCGTGCTTTTCGGATATTTATCTTTTGGTTGTTTTGATTTACCAGTAAAGTTTGTAATAGTAGAGGTTATTGAAAAAAATAACTAATTTAATATTTAAACTTAAATGTCTGTCAAGTATACTTACTGATAATATTAAACTGAAATGGTTGTTTTTTGTTTTATATCAACTATAGTGTGAAGACAGCATTAGGTGTCATAAATAAAGTAGCGATAAATAAAGTTGATTAATGAGCGTAATAAAATGTAATTAGGTTAAACTTATCTGTTACGTAATGACGGGGCGGTAAAACTGTGGGAGAGAGTGTGGATGTGAAGGGTGAAAATTGGATGTATAAAGAATGGGCGCGTCGTCGCGAGTCCCCGACAGCATCGACATAAAGGCGATTTATGGGGGGTAATACTGGGAAGCCGGAATGGGGGGAAGCGAGAAAATGCGGCCTATTAATGTGCGGAATGCTCACTAGCTCTCAATGCTCCTCCCCGAGCAGGGGGTGCACAACCCCCATACACAAAAAAAAAGATAAAAAAAAGCAACTAGCTGCATGGCAGCTACATAACTGTACTAGTTGGAGTATACGATAGTATAGTTGGCGTGGCACAGGCCCAGACAATTCAACTGGATTCGCACACATCACGTAGCAACGAATCGAGCTGACAATGTAATTTGTCAGTTTTGTGTTTTGTGCTGCACCGAGGGGGCAAAAAACAAAACGGAAAAATACCACCCAAATGCAAACCACCCTCTCTTCCCTCCGTCCATCAACCTCCACCGACTGCATCCGGAACAATGTTAAATTAATGTCTCGCATGTATTCTCACTTCCCGAGCCGCACTACTATATTTACCAATTAAATTTAATTTTACTGGCAGCTTGATGAATGTCTTTCTCTCTGTCTGTCTCTCTCTCTCTTTTACTTCTCACCCTCTCTCACCAAACGCACTCCTAATAACAAATGCAGAATAAACAATTCATTATATTCCTGTCGAGCGTTCGCTTCTTTTTATTTCGTTCATATTAATTATATGTTTATTACACATCGTGCATATTGAATGAGTACATTTATAACCGACTGCATCGATGATTTGGTGCTGCGGTGCACGCAAACTCGTTTATGAACAAAAATACAATGTAATATTCATACGGATGTGAATAGTACGAGAGTTCAATTTTCAATTGTTATGCATAATTCAATCGCACCAATTGATCGGTCGAAGAATTACGTTGCACGACTGACATAATATAATATATTTCTAAAATTTGATACGAATCCAAATAGTTTCAGTTATAATTTACACAACAATTTACTGAATGCATTGCAATATTTTTCAAGACTCGACATTTCTACCATTGTTAAATTCAGTCAATGTTCATTATACGCGACTCAAATAAAGTACATTTTCTGAAAGCCTGGCTTATAAGAAAAAAGTGACCTTGGAAATCAAATTTCATTGAAAGCATAATTATAAGAAATGATTAATAATTAATAACACATTCAAATATTGAGGTCGATAAAATTCGATAGAATAATTACAAACCTGAATTTCCATTATATTTCTTCGATTTTCTTAGCACTTGCTTTGATTTCGTTATAAAACTATTAAATATTGAAGAAGTAAAATGTACAATTTTTCATAATTCATATATATTAATATATATTTAGTTTTATATGGTCGCCTGTATCACGAAAATCTGATACGCAAGGTCGTTGGTTCAATTCCGAAAAATCAACAAAAATTTGTGGTGGCTGTTAAACCTGAAAGGGGTAGTAATAGGGCCGGAGAGATTTATATCAATAAATAAATTGATATAAATCTCTTTTCTTTAAAAATATTTAGTATTAAGTATTGTTAATGAAATCGTCATGTTCAAGTGTGTTTTGTATTTTTTTTATCTATCGTAAATATAAATTTATACAATACTTGTTATATTATAAATTTAAGTTAATATTTAACACCTTAAGTGGTTATGTCGTATATATTCGTCATAGACAAGAAACCATAGCGATTATGACGAATACATTCGTATCATGAATGTACTTGGTGTTCTTAATGATTATGTCGCGTAATCGTTCCTAGTTTTAACTTGTGCTATTTACGATGTAGAAAACATAACGTGAACTTTTTGCTGATGAATTAATTAATAGAAATATAAAAGCCAGCGATAAAAATACGTGGCCACTTCATACAATGAATCAAACTTATGGGGTTAATAATTGAGTCAGACTATAATATAAAAATAAGTTCATGTAAAATTATGAGAATATATTTTAAAAGTAATTCATTTTCAAAGTGAAATAAGGATGTTATAAAATTGAAGTGTGGAGCTGGCAGTTAGCGATTTGATCTTCTTTCATAATGTATTGAATATATAAGAAATTATGTGTGATAAATCAGGAGGGGCAAAATATTCGGCGCCACGAGGAGCGCGGCGGGAATGGGATACGGCGAGGCGCGAATACATAAATTCTTCGTTCCATTTGTGAAAATAAAATGAATAAAAATATTTATCTTTTTGTCAGGGAATTGTGTAGCCATAATAAAGAGCGGAACGTCGACCATAAATTGAGCCGTTTTGAGGCGCCAGGTCTTAATATCTGCGCTCGATTTATTCGTACTCGATATGTGGGTGCATGTGCAACATCCTCATCCTCTCGTTCCATATTTCAGATGGACAACGAATGGTTCAGACCGAGAGGATGCATTGGTTTCGACTGTTGTTACCTAAAATGGAGCCAAATGGATGACACGACGCATCCATCGCCTGGTGGATGTACGTACAGGTGGTCCCTTCAATAATGGAATCCTATCCGTCCATTCACCATCTCCCATCCGTTATTTATAAAGACATATACACTATATACTAAGGGGACGCGCACTGGGACTACAACTACTACCATTCTTTCCACAAGTGCATCAATAAATTACGAATGGGGCATGGCATAGAGAGAGCAGCGCCAGAAACCGTCGTCTGTTCCTATACTTTACTACTACTTCTGCACAACTTGTTTCTTTATTTATATCCAAAAGTGGCTGGATCTTGCTGCACCATTCCCCATCATATAACTTTCATTATTACCAAATGCATACAATACACCACTCAACCACTGTCTATCTACATTTTACAGCATGAAACTGAACTCCTTTCACATGTTATGTCTCTATAGTTCGATTTTTTTGCCTAGGCTATAAAAAAATGTGTAACGTGAAATCAACAAATATGAACAGAAATGAACAATTAATTTATATTTGCTATATGATGTGAAAATAAAAATAATAAAAATGTATTGTAATTACATAAAATTTGTATTTGATATAAAAAAATATGCTTGCTATTAAAGCTAAATAGTGTTTTGAATAGGGATTATAAAGGTGTGAAGCTTTCCACCGGCAGAGAGATTACAGCCGACTTAGAGATCTGCATATTAATGCAGCCCTCTAAATTTCCATTAGCGTTCATTATATTTACGAAATAGGTTGTTATAACAAAAATATAAAATACATTGAAAGTATTCATTATTGAAAATATTTAGTTTTATGTCAAAGTTATTTTTTTGTAAATATTCACTCA